GAGGATAGGTAAAATAATACATAATAAGAAAAGGAATATAACCAAGCTTGTTTAAGAAAGGTAGGTTGCCTGATAACTTTTATAACGTTATCTGGGGTGCCTCAACACAATTCAAATCTCCATAATGCACCCCAGATGCGTCATCAAGTTACCCATTACCAAACAACCTCATTAACTTTTGAAACCTTGGGATATATATACCTACCTTTTATTGAAGAAAACTTAATTTCTGAATAAAAGTTTACGTGGATTGCTTGCAAACTTGCTAACTACATGTGCCACCAATGCAAATTATGATATTTTTTGACGCAAATACTCGAATGCAACCGAGAATGAATAATATTTTGAAAGATTTCAATCAGTTTATTGAATGAATTGATAAATAAAAATGAAAAATTTGAACCAAAATCACTGAAAACGCTGTCTCATTGGCTAAAGCCGATATTCATCAACAAAATGCACGCTCGATAGTGCTGGTGGTGCATATAGTTGTGAAAGTAATATCATAAGAGTTTTTCTAATTGTTGAAAAACCCAATTCACTTTTTTTGGAACCTCAGTAATGTCTGGTGTTTCCTGTAAGTAGTTGATTCCAAATTTCAAACAATAATTCACTTTCTCGTTCGATGGCTTCTAAATTGTAGAAAGTTAGGGTGGATTCTAACAGACATTTAATTCAATTTAGCATTTAAATAATTTAATTTACAAAGTTTACTATACAATACCATATGACGGCGTTCATACAAAATTTTAATTTAAGATATAATATAAACTTAATTTATCCCATTTTGACGTTTAAAAATGACATTATTGAACGCATAAAGACTGTTTTTTTTTTAAAGATAATTCCCCAAGTCAAAAATTTAGTAACTATGTTGGCAACACAAGCCTTTTCTACATTAAAAATTTGAAAGCATTGACAATTTTACATTGCATGCATTGCCAACATAATGTCATTTTGACTTTTATCATTAAAAAAAAAACAGATTTTAATAACAAAGGTAAGTAGACGTTTATCACCTGAGTGACTTAAAATATTTAACTCGCTCTCGGTCTTTAAGTCACTCTGCCAGTATAAAAATCTGCTACAAATACAAACAAACAACTAGTTATACCCTAGCAACTACCAGTTTCAATATTTGATATGCGCTCGCTATATGAATTCTTTTTATAATTTGATTCCTATTAAGTACCTTATTTTTGGAATGTCTATCTATCTAAAATGGGATAAAATTTTGTATACATCACGTGAGTTAAAATGTTTATTCATTCGAAGAAAATTAACCCACTCGCTAGGCTCGTGGGTTAAACTTTCTTCTCATGAGTAAACATTCATTTAACTCACTTGGTGTATAAATAACTATTAAAAGTTGGCCAACTTTTATCTCTCAAAATTAAATTAAATTAAATTTGAGGTTGATCAATGATTTTCATCAGTTTGACAAAGCAGATGACGGATAATGACATTTTTCTATATCAGTTAAAAAATTACTGTATGAACGCCACAAAGTAAAATTATATTAAATCTTAAATTATGTTAATATAAAATTAAATTAAATTTCTGTTATAACCCAGCTTTACACAAGGAAAAGTAATTTTTTTCCATTTGTCCTATTGATTTTAATATTTTGAGTTTTGTTGTCAGCTTCTAACGAGTCGGGGATTGATAGTTGGGATATAATTTAATTTGCTATAAAATTGTATTAATGGAATTTCGTTTTTTGGTATTATAATTATTCTTATCAATTTATCAATAAAAATTATTAAAAATGTAACCTGGGAAAATGACAAACCTTATGGTATGTCAAAGAAAAACGAAATTGATTCGGCAACATTGCAACATGTGGGTTTCACTCGGCAAACTTATTTCTGATTCAGTTGTGCTATCGTCTTCTCTGTTTCTCGCCCTGCCTAGTGTTTATTCTGCTTTCCCTTTTCAAGTTCTTATTGCCTTGAATTCCTGACTTTTTCTTTTGTGTCTTTCTCAAGGACATTCCCGTAGCTCTTAATACTCAATCGAAAAACGTCCCTGCTTCTCTGAAAAAAAACCAAATTGAAGTTGAGCCCTGAGAAATCTCTTAATTATAGTGAATCGCAATTGCTAAACCCTGATGTGTGAAGAAATTCTGTCTCTTCTCACAGAAATCACAAACCAGTTAGAACGAATTTCAGTGGTTGTAAAAAGTCAGAAAACTGGTAGTTGGCGATTTGCACCAATCAAAAACGCTTTGAATGGTTTGTGATTCCTGTGAGAACAGACCTAATCTTCATCTCGTTCTTCTTCTTCTTCAAGTTCTAAACTCTTCGTAGTCTCGGGTTCAGTTATTGGCTCAGTTATTGGGTAATTCGTTGGGATATCAAATTCATTTCAAATTGTCTAGCACTCAATGTTGCCTTAAACTTAGTCTTAAAGGCAAATACACAAATGACCTGTACGCCGTATCGTTTAAAATGTATCATATGCGATTTCACATGATTCTCAGCGATTGCCAATGGATTCCTATGTGATTCCCATGTTGTCCTAGGAGATTCCTAGCGATTTCCAGGCTATTCCCAGGGAGCCCCAATTGATTTCCATGTATTCTTGATTAATTACTATGTGTTTCCCAAAAAAATGTATAATGATTTCCACTAGTGGTTTACCCCTCGGTAAGAAGTGACAAAATGCAGAAAATGTTAAAATGATATTTAACATTCATTTTGGACACCTTTTCTCAATATTTCAAAAGAAAAAGCTTTATAGAAGCACTTTTTGGGCAAATTTGAACCATTTTGTGGGTTTTTGAATCAAAAATACGCCTAGAAAAGGATATCTCTGACTATAAGTAATCCCGTCCTGTTAAAGCGTGGGTACTTTAAAGGTCACTTTACAGTTTGCTATTTTGCTCCCAGCAAGTTTTCTGCCTGCAAGTTTTCTGCCTGCAAGTTAATTGCGGCCATAAATTTGCAGCAGTTTATTAACAGTTTGCAATTTTTATGATGTCACTTTTTGAGATAAAATTGTACGGTTGGCAACACTTGAAACTTGCACACACAAGTGCTAGAAAAATAGATTCGAAGCTATTAGCTGCAAGTGCAAGAAATCCCCTGAGTGAGATGAATGTGCCCGTCATAAAAATCCCTACAACTCTTTTCCCAGGGGTAGGAAAATAACGAACTGTGAAATGGCCTTAAAGCCTACTTTGGATGGGTTTTGAATGAAAAGAAGGGAGAAATTGCTGCCAATGTTAGCGAAATGCAATTTTATACTCATTTTTGACAGAAAACACTTTTACGAAAAATGGAGGGGAAAACTCAGACCATTCTGTAACTCAGTCAAGAAATTGGTAATATACTTATTTATCAGTAATTTTGAATAACATAATCTTCACTAGCCTGGGTGAATTACTTGATAAGTTGACTTTACTAATTTATGCTTCAGCCCTTCTCAACTTTATAAACTTCCTTCAAGTTAGCAGATACACTCAGGCGCTTCGAAAAATGTAAAGATAATACTCCTTCAGAAAAAGGAGAATAACTCAGATCTATCCAATTTTCGCCCCAGCAGCACTTAAGCGCCTGCTTCAACGGTTCTTGAAAATGTTGTACATCATTCATCGATTTCGTTATCTATTGAAGAAAACAGCTTATTGTTCATTGAACAATCAGGACTTACAGTACAAGCATGGCACTGTTGATTGTTGAAGATAAAATGATGATATAATAACCTCATAGGACAAAAATCAAATAACCATCGTTTCCTTCTAAACATGTCCAAAGCATTTGATAGTATCAACCTTAGTATCATCCTTCTGCCAAGCTTTTGTGGTATGGTGTTCAAGATATATCTTGGCAATGGTTCAAGACTTAAGAATTACTTGTTTAACAAACGTCAATTTATCCCAGTCCTGTCTTAAAATTTGATTAATTGTGGATCATCTTTTCTTACACTGAAAGGTCTTTATAATTTGAAAAACCATATTTCTCCATATTTGGAAAACATTATAGTGGCTAAATACTCAACTAAATATGAATGGGAGAAGATGGGTCCATCTTTCAGTTTTTATCTACAAGCTAATTTTGGATAAAGAACCTATATATTTGTATGAAACAATGCAGTTTTGATCAATAGGTAACTCTTTTAGTGATGTAATAACCCTTTTAGGGTTGGTTGAGATGAGTTCACTTCCTTGATTGTTCTGCTTTCTGGTTAGATCCTATTTAAAAGTCGCCTCTCACTGGTTGTCTTGCTCACCTTTCGCTCAATCTCTTTAGAAACTCATTTAATAGATAACTAAGATACACACACATTAGCATAACATACCAATGTTATGCTAGTGTGTGTGGTCAAAAGGTGTGGGTTTTTTAAGTTTCTTATTGTTATATTTTTCCACAAGGAGTTAATTGGTAAATGGGGCCTAAGGTATGTTATTTAAAAGGAATAAATATTACATACATTTTTAAACCAAATCAGATCTTCATCAGCTCATAGCTAGGACATACTACCCAAAATCAATAGAAAGGAGATCCAAAAAATGGATTGGGAGAAGAAGTAAGATGGAAGAAAAGGACTTGAAAGACAAAGAAACAGCTCATGTTACATAAATCCTGAAGAAATTATTCTGAACTTAGTTACCTTATACTATATGCCCAATCCAAACAAAATTGCCAACTGAATTTTAGCAATTTGAAACAGCAGAAGTATTTTGGAAACATACTGACTTTTACTGTGAGAAATTTCAAACAACAAGATTATTTGAAACTAATCCAAAACTGCTTTGAATTCCTTTTATTTGCTTTTTACAAAAGAACAATTTAACTCAAAAAACTTGAGCACTGAAGTTTTTCCATTGAGAGTAGAGAACAATTCAAAAAACAAAGGTAGTCCACTGGTTAGTAATAAAACTGCCTCAAATTGGTCAGCAAATGAATTATACTCCAAATAAGTGAATAAACTTCCTTATGATATTTTCTTTCGTTTATTTCACAAAACTTAACCGTTAGTATTTTCCTTTATTCCAGTTGTTGGTGTAACATATTCAAAAGATGTTGTGGCCCCAAGGAACTACGTTCCCGCACCATCAACCTGGGCAAAATAACCCCAGGTCAATTCCCGGCCAACGCCATCCGGAACCAAAAGTACAACATCATCACCTTCCTGCCGATGGTGCTCTATCAGCAGTTCAAGTTTTTCTTGAACTTGTACTTTTTAATCATGGCCACTAGTCAGTTTGTGCCCGACATCCGTATCGGTTACCTGTACACTTACTGGGGACCTTTATGTTTTGTCTTGTTCATTACGATTTGTCGCGAAGCCATTGACGATTTGCGACGACACAAACGAGATCAGGAGGTCAACAATCAAAAGTGCAAGCGGTTACTGAACGATCGGAATAAGCCGTTTGAAATAGTGGCTGCACATAAGTTGAAGGTGGGCGATTTGATTATTGTGGATAAAGATGAGCGCGTGCCTGCGGATTTGGTTTTGTTGAGGACCTCAGAAAATAGCGGTACTGTTTTTGTACGAACTGATCAGCTGGATGGTGAAACCGATTGGAAATTACGGTTGGCGGTGCCAGTTACCCAAAAATTAGGAAACGATCATCAGCTGTTTGAAATCAGTGCTAGCATTTATGCGGAGAAGCCACAAAAGGATATCCATTCGTTTATTGGAACATTTAGCAGAGTAAGTAGGACTAGTTTGTTTATCATATGTTTATTAATTCATTATTTAGCTCGATTCAGTCAACACTGACGAAAGTTTGGATTTGGAAAACACGCTATGGACCAATTGCGTTATAGCATCAGGACAAGCTACTGGAGTTGTCATTTATACAGGTCAGTTATAGAATGCTTCCTTGAGTAGAGATGCTAAAAATTTTGTTTTTCAGGTCCCGAAACACGATCGGTAATGAACAACTCCCAGCCCAGATCCAAAGTGGGCCTGCTAGATATTGAAGTCAACACTATAACTAAACTTTTATTCGTCGCCGTTATGGCCCTGGCCTTTTTGATGATCGTCCTCAAAGGATTTAGCGGGCCCTGGTACCGATACCTGTTCAGATTTGTTTTGTTGTTCTCTTATATTATTCCAATCAGGTAAGAATTATATATGGTTGCCTCCATTTTTTTTTTGTTCTGTATTTTTTCTCTAGCTTTTTCCTGCCTCTTTGATTTGTCTCTCTAGAGTAGTAGGTACACTCCATTTGATTTACAATTTTTCTGCAATTTCTATTCTACGAAACTACTCCTTTCTCTTCAAGCTCGTACCTTGGTAGTTGTTTCTAGGCACTTCTTCCATCAAAACTTCCATTACGTCATTATTTTCATTAATATTGGCTTCTCACTCTATTTTGCTAGTACATATGTAATTACATTTTCTCTTCGAACAGTTTAAGAGTCAATCTTGACATGGGAAAGTCATACTACTCATGGTCAATAGGCAAAGATCCTCACATGAAAGGTACCGCGGTGCGGTGTACCACAATTCCGGAAGAACTAGGCAGAATTTCCTATTTACTCTCAGACAAAACAGGAACTCTGACGCAAAACTCGATGGTTTTGAAACGATTGCACCTTGGCTCTGGCTGTTACGCAGGAGACAGTTTCCAAGAAGTAAGAATTTTGCCTATTGAATAACTCCTAATTATAGATGATTGTTTAGGTTGGTGCAGTGTTAAGGTCGGCCTACAACCAGAACGAGAGTCCGGCAAGAAAAAACGCGGTACCAACTAAATTCAAACACTCTGAAACCACTCGAGTCAAAGACGCGGTTCAAGCCTTAGCTCTCTGTCACAACGTTACTCCTACTTATGAAAATGACATTAACGATTCCGGTTCGATAACTTCTGAGGCTGAAGCGGATCAGCATCTACAAGCACCTACGCTGGAAGTGACTTATCAAGCTTCCAGCCCTGATGAAGTGGCTTTGGTGCATTGGACTCAAGAAGTAGGTTTAACCTTATTCCGTCGAGATAAAACTTCTATGCAATTAAAGGCACCTGATGGGAGGCTCATGAATTATGCCATTTTGCAAATATTTCCTTTTACCAGTGAAACTAAGAGGATGGGGATAATAATAAAGGACTTGACTTCAGGTGAAATTATGTTTTACCTTAAAGGAGCTGATGTGGTTATGACTGGTATTGTCCAGTACACTGACTGGCTAGAAGAAGAAGTTGGTAATATGGCCAGGGATGGTCTTAGGACACTAGTTGTAGCCAAAAAGTTGATCACAGAAGAACAATATTTGGATTTTGAGACTCGATACAATGCGGCTAGATTGTCAACCATAGACAGAGTTTCTAGGGTAGCTCAAGTGGTTGAGTCTTTGGAGAGGGAGATGGAGCTTTTGTGCATTACTGGAGTAGAAGACAAGCTACAGGACAACGTCAGAACTACATTGGAAGTATTGAGAAATGCTGGCATTAAAATTTGGATGCTTACAGGCGATAAATTGGAGACTGCAACGTGCATAGCGAAAAGTTCCCGGCTAGTTTCTAGAACTCAAGGTAGGTAACAAATCGCAATTTACTCTCTATTGCAATACTGAGTTTTTGGTTTCAGGTTTGCATGTATTCAAGAAGGTTGTGACTAGAACGGATGCGCATCTCGAACTAAACTCCTACCGGAAAAAGCAGGATTGCGCCTTAGTGATAAGTGGTGAAAGTTTGGAAGTTTGTCTGTCTTACTATCAGCAGGAATTTATGGAGTTGGCTACGGCAGCTCCGGCTGTAGTTTGTTGTAGATGTTCGCCTACGCAAAAGGCTCAAGTGGTGAGTTTTATAATGATTTTTTGTATGTCTGCTAGTGTGTGTCTCAATTTTGTACATTTTCCTGTTGAATGTTACTCTTTTTGCATCTGTAGGTTTATCATCAAGCCTGTTTCTTTTAGGTCCAATTAATCCAACAACATACAGGAAAACGTACAGCGGCTGTAGGCGACGGTGGTAACGACGTCAGCATGATCCAACAAGCCGACGCTGGTATCGGTATAGAAGGCCGTGAAGGCAAACAAGCTAGTTTAGCTGGTGATTTCAGGTACCAACTTTTAACCCATCACTAACTCTTATTAAACATTTATTTTTGTAGCATCCCTCAATTTTCTCATTTGGCCCGGCTTCTGCTGGTCCACGGCAGAAGATCGTACAAACGGTCAGCCTCTCTGTCTCAATTCGTCATCCACCGAGGCCTTATTATTTCTACAATGCAAGCAGTGTTTAGCAGCGTATTTTATCTCAGCTCGGTGGCGCTGTATCAAGGATTTTTAATGGTGGGCTATGCCACTGTTTACACCATGTTTCCGGTGTTCAGTTTGGTGCTAGATCAGGACGTGAGTCCCGAAATTGCTCTCACCTATCCGGAACTGTACAAGGATCTGGCCAAGGGCAGGAGTTTGTCTTACAAGACCTTTTTTATTTGGGTTTTGGTGTCTATTTATCAAGGTAAACAATTTTTTATGGTTTTATGCTAATAAGATGATTTCTATTGGAACAATTAATTTGCTGCGCCAATACATTACGCATTTTGATTCGTTGACCAATAGAAATGCAACGTTTCAATAGTTGAAACTTGCCTATTTGTATGTTGAGTATATTTCTTTTTGTTTCAGGTGGTGTAATAATGTACGGTGCTCTATTATTATTCGAAGACGAATTTATTCACATAGTAGCCATTAGTTTTACCTCACTGATCCTGACCGAATTAATAATGGTGGCTTTGAACATCCGCACTTGGCACTGCTTGATGATTTTGGCCGAATTTTTCTCGTTGGCGCTTTACGGCTTGTCGCTAATCGTTTTACACGATTACTTTGACGCCGAATTCATAAAAACGCTGGATTTCTTGTGGAAAGTAACTGCAATCACGTTGATATCGTGCTTGCCGCTTTACATTTTGAAGTTTTTAAGGAAAAAGTTTTCACCTCCGAGCTATACTAAATTGTCTTAGGTTTATGTGATATTTTGTGTCTCAAATTTTCTTGGAAATTACAAAACAATAATGAATATTTTTCGATTTTATTCATAAAATGGTCACACTTTAGTGGGTTAAACTACTACTTTAACTGGTTTTAATTTAAGCTCACAACAATCGTAATAATTATTCAACGTGATAAGTTACCCAAAAATAAAAAGGCATTTTTGAAATTCAGTGGTACGATTCTGTCCAACAAGCAAAGCGACAGCGAATGTGGTGAGAGATAAAATCAGCTAAGACACACCATTGACAAAAAAGGGAAGGTCTCTCTTTAACTGGTTTTATCTTTACTCTCTCTTTCCTTCATATTTATTACAGAGTCTATCTGCTGATTGGTTGAATCCTTCTTTTGCACTCATGATTTTTTATGTTCTCTATTCTAGTGTGCTTGTATAGTAAATAGTTTAAGTTTTATTATTTTGCAAAACAACTCACAGTTAACTAACTAATTAATCAATAGTCAAATAGTAATTATATTTTATTATATGAATACACTTCCAGTTGTTGATTATACGTAAATGGTTTATTAATTTATTAGAAAAATGTAATATACAAAATATATATTAACTTTAATTGTTTGTAGATTATTTGCCTGGCACAAACCACCCATGTAAGCACTTGGGCACAGCGCTCGGAGTTTTAAATTCGGCCCTTCCTATTTCCTTAAATGTGTGTGCATCCAGGATGAGAAGACCCACATGGTTTGTATCGTCATTACCATAAACCATTACTGAGAGTATAATACCTTCATCTTCAGACTAAAATGATCAGTTTTTGGGTTTTATAAGAAACATTTTGAGTACTTACTTTGCTGTTTGGTGAAACTACAAAAATGGGTTCGCCAGGAAAACATCCTTCCTCTTGCCAAGTTTTCCAGCTATTTCTCTTTACATCAACTTTAATCAAAGTTCCAGGATTAATTGCATCAACGTCAGAGCTTATAGCATAAAAAAAATTGTAATTTTTGCCCAAATGTTTCTCGTAATTGATTCTGGGCGTTTCACAGCCTAAATTGCATAATTTTTCTGCTTTCACCAATATTTCCCCGTTTGCTAAGTAAGTTGCAGTTGCCTTAGTGTCTGGTAGAGTAACTAAATTACTATCACCCGCCTCGTGTAGTGGTTCGGGTTTCAAAGGTAATACAAATCTTATGGGTCTGCCTCTGAACATTTTAGCATAATCTGGATTGTTTTGCATGTTCTAGAAAATTTTTTCAAATTGATATCGAGTTTAATTACATTAGTTTTTACCCGCATTGTTTCAATATACATGCAATCCAGCATTGAAGGGTCTCGATAAGCACAAATGTCAATGATTATGTGATCAGATTCTTCATATTGGTTGATTATGTGTAAATAAAAGAAGGTTTCGGCTTGGAATTTGCTGACTAGGGAGCCAGTTTTGCGACTTATTATGTTAATTTGCGTCTAAAATGAAGTTGGAATTTTTGAAATCATGTAACTGTTATTTATGACACATTAAGTATACAGTAAAAAAATCTTATCTCTTCTAACTTTATTCTTTATCAAATATTTTCCTTTCTTTGAATCATTTGGCCAACTGCAATTTAATGCAGAATAATTATACAATTTTTTCTTTAGGTAAAAGGATAAACGAATAGGCAGAAGGAAAAACAAATAATTTGTCAAATAGTAGCAAGTGTCCATTTTAAACTCGCGAATCCAAGGAAGATTCAAGAAACGACTATATATTCGGCCCTTAGCTAACTCCGAAGTAGTTAAGGTAGCAGCGGAATGGCATTTGATATATTTTCCAAGTTTTATTAAAACTATTCGTATGTTTGGTTGGATATTCAGATTCGTACATAATTTGAGACATCTAGAGGATAAACGCGTTGGTGAGCTATCCGCTGAAGAAATATGAACCAAGCGGAAATTTTCGTTTTGTGAACAGTACAAAGAGAAAGTTTTTCAAAAAATGACCAACGCCTGAAAACTTTGCACGTATTTTGGGATGATTCTGGCATTGTACGTTTGAAGTCTCGTATAGCAAATCGTGAAGATACCGAATTTTTTCGAATGCCGATAGTACTGCCATCTCATCATGTGATTGAGCGGCTCGTTTTTGATATCTATAGGAAGTCGTGTCATGTTAAAGTCCAGGGTTTATTGAGCATGCTGAGAGAAAATTACTGGATATTGGGTAGACGAAGGTACATCAAAATGTGTAGTGTGAGTGTATCGGAGGCAGTCATCCAATAGTAGCCAAGTCCAGAGTCCACCTCTCCCTACAGATCGAGTTAGGAATGCGTCAACTTGTGAAGTCACTGGTGTGGACTTTGCTGGTCCTTTATACTTGAAGACAGGTGGGAAGGTCTGGATCTGTATTTTCACATGTGCTGTTTATAGAGCGGTGCACCTGGAACTAGCCAGTTCATTGTCGACTGAGTGTTTTGTGAAAACCCTAAGAAGATTTGTTGCTCGAAGAGGAAAACCGAAAGTAGTATACAGTGACAATGGAACTAATTTTGTCGGCATAGATAATTTATTCAAGAAACTGCAATGGAGCGCAGTTGAAAAATATGTAGCCGTAGAGCGGAATACATGGCGTTTTAACCCTCCAACTGCAGCTTGGTGGGGTGGGTTCTGGTAACGCCTTGTCGGCATTTTAAAAAGAAAGGACTTACTAACCGTGACATGTGATTGTGAGCAAATAGTAAACTCCCGACCTCTGACGTATATTTCGGAAGACGCCAGTGAATTGGTACCACTTTCACCAGTTATGTTTACGCGTGACTTGTCCGAAAGTAGGTACTTTGCCTGAATGTGAAGTGGTAGACCGATCATCATTGTGTTGAAAGGTAAGGCGAATACAAAAGATTCGGGACGATTTGAGATTAAGATTTCGTAAGAATACCTTAGACAGCTTCAAAACGCCACTAGTGTTAAGGCGTCTAGACAAGTTTAAGTCGGCGAAATTGTGCTAGTTGGTAATGATAATGATAAAAAAATTGACTGGCCACTTCTACGAATCACCGAAGCCGGGCAAATATAGTGCAGTACGTTTGGTGCGTGTCTATACTGCAAATGGAATGTTGCTAGGCTCTGTGCAGAGAGTGTTCAAAGTAGAGTACCCGACGTAAAAAAATGTCTTTTTGTAAAAACTTTAGTATTCTTCATAGTCTTTTGAACTTAAGTATGTTGATTAATTTGAACCAGTAACTTGATGATAAAAATCCCATGCGAATTTTTAAAATCCCGTAAGAAAATTTGAAGTCTTACGTCATTTGATTGGCTCTTTGACAAAGATTTCTGATTGTTGGAAGAGACTTCTGCAATATCAAACCAATCTTCTAACAACCAGTTGTTGAACCAACTTACATATTGATCTCCATACCACTGAAAAGCTCCAGCCAAAGGTTCATTTTGAAACTTGAGCGCAACCAAGCTTGGAATCGATATACTCAAAGGCTGCTCCACAATTATAAAATAATTATCGGTAATGCCAAACGTGTGCATGTACGAGGGATGCAAAGGCCATCGTGCCGGTATCGAGGCAACTATTTTGGCATCTTCAAACATTTTGTCTGATTTTGGAAAATGGATTATGCTGTGATAAGGTCCTGAGGCGTATAGACTCATGCCAAGATTATACACAGAGGCTAAAAAAATTGATTTAAATAAAACAATTAGGACTAGCAATTGGTCTTACAGTCTTCCATTACATGAGGATGTGATGTGTGATTCACAATGCTGATATGTTCACTTAAATCAACTCTTTCAAGAGTTTCTAGAGTCTTTGAGTCGATTTTATGGATAAATGGTATTTCGTTGAAAGCGTAAATTTCATCTCCAAATGGATAAACTGAAATCATTGCGTTGTCAGACATGTCTGATTTTAGATTGAACATTGTAGCTACTCTGAAACACACAAATCAGTTATACAGGCTGTTCAAAATACCATGCGCCATCATTGGTAAGGGGGCGGTGATTTGTAAAAACACCTAAAACGGTTTTTTTTTACAAGTCACCCTGTATCTCAGAAACTAATAGACATTTGGCAACCACAAAAATATATTTTTAATAAGCTTCGAATATAACAACTGTTTTCTAATTTAATCGCTCTCGTATCTCTTTACTGTTTCCGATATACCGATGGTGGCACCTGGTATTTTTGACACCCTGTATATGCGAATGAGGGTCTCAATAATTTCATATTGCAACAGTTAAATCTACAACCGTTTCAGTCAAAAATTGTCATTTAATTGACTATGAATTAAAACAGTACCAGTGAAAAATGATTGTAAGTTTGTTCTCACAAAAAGTCTTTGACAGTTCACAAACTGTCAGAAAGCATCGTCCATACATGTTTTCAAAGCAATCGTTCCATGATAAGTTGCTAACTTAGCTGAGCGACGTTTTCTGAGAGTTTGGAAACTGTCTGAGACTCTTGTGAGAACAGCCCTATAATCTTAAACTTAAGCTAGGAATGTTATATCGGGTCTTCAAAAAAAAAACCAATCAAAGATTGCTTTGGTTACGAAAACGTACGTCGCATTATTGTTTCTTTATTGGTCAGGATTTTTGACATGACATTTTGACATTAAATTTATTGACTGACATTGTCAAAATTAAAGAAAAATATTGCTAAGACGTACGTTTAAAAAACCATAGCAATCTTTGATTGGTTTTTTTTTTGAAAACCCGATATCTCTCATGGCCATTTGCACCGCTATTACTTAAGGGATATTTAATTTAAGTGAAGCTTTTGAATGTGACTTTTGTTTCTACGAGAATCACATTCAAAGCTCCACTTAGATTAAATATCCCTTAAGTTATAGCGGTGCAAATGGCCATCAATTGTGCACAATCTCACAATATTTGGTTAGCAGCGCGAATCGATAGTAGAGGCAGTGAGCTGTGATTTAGTTCTGGGATGCAGGCTTGAAATATAACGAAAAATTACTTTTGAAAAATTGTCTGACAAGGATCTGGTATAGCTTTGGTTCCAAATTCTGTAACGACCAGTCGGTTAGCTGTCCAGATTTTTTTGTAAATTTCTGATTGCAAGAACCTGCATTGGTACGTCACCTTGCCATGGCTTATTCCAAATCTACAAAATATTTAAATATAGTGTTGTTTTGCTGCAGACACTGATTTTTACCTGTGCAAAAGTGCAGAACTGTCGAATAGATGTTGAAATTCATCTTTTCCAGCTTTTAAGGTACCAGGTCCGTTCCTTATCAACGAACCATTCAACCAGTGAGGAATGGTGCCTGTAATTTTACCTAGTAACGGCTCGACTATTTCTTTTTCACAGGACCTTAGCCAAATTTGAACGTCGCAGTTTGGATAGTGAGGTTTTTCGGTTGGATTTTTTCTTGCTTCGGGTTTTTTTCGAGTGAAATCCAGATTTTTTTTTGGAGGCAATGGAGACCAGCTAAAAACTCTTGTGGATTTCAGTTCTTCCATTGTGTGTCTTATACAAGGTAAACTCAATTAAATTAAAAATTGCTGCAGATTCATTACCTTAATTAAATTATCATTGAAGGACAAAAGAATCAATAGAAACAAGGTCATTAAATTTTTGTTAATTGAATTTTTTTGCGTTTGTGTTGACCTCTGTCGCCATATTGTTTTTCAATAAAGGCCATAAATTCCGGAGTATGTAGCCTAGGCTTCATGACACTAATGACATGACAAAAAGTATATTCTAACCTCAAAAACAAATATCATTGGATTACCAAGCGTTTTTCATATTTTCTTTTTTCTTCAACAAATAAATAACTAAAAATCATGGAGTGTCTTTTGGGCATAAAATTCAACGATTTCGTCCTTATTGCTGCCGATAGGACAGCGGCCCAAAGTATAATGGTCATGAAATCAGGTAAGCGAACAATTTTTCCATAGTTTTCAAGCCTCCACAATAAATTTTATTTTCAAGACGAAAACAAGCTCCACAAGCTCTCCAACAATCTTGTAATGGCTGTATCCGGTGAATCTGGAGATACCACTCAGTTTTCCGAGTATATTGCCAAAAATATTCAGCTGTATAAAATGAGAAACACTTACGAGTTGAGCCCTAGACAAGCGGCAGCTTTTACTCGTAGAAATTTGGCTGAAGCTCTTCGGAGCAGGGTAAGAATTTGAATGTTTGCCCTATCAAATATCCTATAAAAATATCTTTTAGTCTCCGTACATGGTCAACCTTCTTCTAGCAGGTTTTGACGAAAAAGAAGGTGCCCAATTATACTTCATGGATTATCTCGCGTCCATGGCGAGTGTAGATTACGCCGCTCACGGCTACGGAGGTTACTTTTCATTGTCCATAATGGACCGTAACTATTTGAAAAATATGACTCCAGAGCAGGGGTACGATTTGCTAAAAAAATGCGTCCAGGAAGTTCACAAGAGGTTAATTATTAATTTGCCCAATTTCAAAGTTCAGATTATTGATAAGGATGGTGTTAAGGATTTGCCTGATATCAATTCCAAATCTTACGAATAAATTATTTAAGGTGGTGTTATAATGTATTAATTTGTATTTGATAATAAAATATTTCCTGTGAAGTTTCAACCGGGATGCGAAACATTTTTTAGTTTTTACCCATGTGTGAAAAGTCGTTTAGGTATACTGCAAACCCAGATTCATCTCAAATCTAGGTGCAACATCTTATTTTACCAAATATGCCACTTTTACATATTTCAAAAACATATTTAAATTATTGCGCTAGCCATTCTTATAACATCTGTATACTTTTTTTCCAATTTTTGTACAGGGTGAGTCACTATATTTTGACACCCACCTGCAGCCGTAATTACAGGTGATAGGTAAAAAGTGTAAATACAAAAGTTGTAGCTTTTTATCTGAACCGCCAGAATTTTTAATTAGATGGAACAAATGAGCAAGACAAAGTGGAAAAATATGTCAATGTTCACCTTTTTTAAACGGAATGCACTTTATTTTCTTTCAAATTCTTAAAGTTCTCGTTTTTCTGATTCAGATTATATAATATGTTGATGTTTCTTTCAATAATTTTAGAAATATCTGGAGTTTAGTTATTCAAAGATCTATTCACGTATCACAATGTTTTAAGACAGGTTACAGGTAAATCAAGGTGAAATTTATTCAAAAAACTACTCTCTTTGAATAACTAAACTCCAGATATTTCCAAAACTATCGAAAGAAACACTAACATATTATATAATCTGAATCAGAAAAACGAGAACTTTAAGAATTTGAAAGAAAATAAAGGGCATTCCATTTGAAAAAAGTGAACATTGACATATTTTTCCACCTTTTGTTGCTCATTTGTACAATCCAGAGCTGGGATCGTTACTTGAAAAAAGTAACGCGTTACTTTACAGTTACTTTTGCTTAAAAATAAATCGTTATTTAAAATTTACAGTTACTTTCGAATAATGATAACTTTATTTTCGTTACTTATTAGAAAGTAACGCGTTACTGTAACTTCTTTACTTTGAAAGTAACTTCTTTACTTTAAAAGTAGTTCGTTACTTTTAAAGTAACGCGTTACTTCAAAAATAACTATTTACGTCGAAATTTGCGTTATTCCTCAATTTGACTCACCAACACAGCAGTCCAAACAATCAAATAAGACCTATACGAAATGCCAATATGTTTTTAGTTTGTGAGTCCGACTATGTGGAAGAGTATTCTTGCAAAATTCAAGCGGATTAAGGATTAAGCGACTGAATAGAGCACTTGGTTTTGGACAAACCTGCTCTTTGAAGCGTCCCAGTGTCTGCATATAGTGTTTTTAGAGCAGAGGCGGCGCGTGGTACGGCCAAAAACGTTTTTTTTGAGCTTTCGAAACAAAGTTTCTGTACTACCAACATTTTATTTGACATACAAAGTTTTTAGATTACTTATTTTCCTTTTCCTCACTCGCCAATTATTTGTAAAGAAGATAAACGAATTGAGAGAACGAGTTACTTTCATAGTAGCTAGTAACGCGTTACTTCAGGAAAGTAACGTCGTTACACTTACTTATCAATCAATCTGAAAAGTAACGAAGTTACCAAGTAACGCGTTACTTTCAGTAACTCGTTAAAGTAAAGTAACTTTTTTTTGTCGTTACTCCCAGCTCTGGTACAATCTAATTGAAAATTCTGGCGGTTCAGATGAAATACTACAACTTTTGTATTTACACCGTTCACCTATCAACTACTATATTCCTGGCACGTGAGAGTGGCTTATTGCAGAAGATGGAATTTCAAGTAAGAACCTAACATTTGTGGAACTATTAGTCCAAATAAGCTAAATTTTTCAGGGATTGTAGTCCTCCACTAGGATAAGAATTGCTTAAAATTACAGCTTTCTATCTATATTAGAAAAAAAGTTATGGGTCTTCAAAGTTTTTGAAAATCCAAATCATAAGGTAGCCTTAGTACTAAAATGATGAAATTTCAAATATTTTTATGTTGAAATTTTGTGTCTAAATGATCATTGGGGACCCCCCAAACTCCATACACTAAATTATTCTGAGATTTGAAGCCGAAATCTATGAAAAAAGGCACTCGGAAAAATTGATAAATCACCCCGAATTGCTTAACACGATTTTATCTCAGGAACTATGAGTCCAAATGAGTTGAAATTTCCAGGGATTGTAGTCCTCTACTGGAATGAGTATCACTGAAAATTTCAACTTTATATCTTTTATAGAAAAAAAGTAATGACCTTTCAAAGTTTTCCAAAATCTAAATCATAAGGTAGCTGGGCTAGCACTCTCTAACAAATAGAGATATTTTCTCTATCTCTATTGATGTCCCCTCCCTATTGATTTCGAAAAGAGAGAAGAAGACAGCAAGTGCCATAGCGATAGGAATAACGATCTCAAGCTGTTACAGAGTCCCAACCCTGGCTACCTTCTTACTAAAACGATAAAATTTCAAATTTTTTTTTGTTGAGATTTTGTATCCTAATGGTCAATTAACAACCCCCAAACTCCATACACTAAATTATTCTCAGATTTGAAGCCGAAATCTATGAAAAAAGGCACTCAGAAAAATTGATAAATCACCCCAAATTGCTTAACACGATTTTATCTCAGGAATTATAAGTGCAAATAAGCTGAAATTTCCAGGGATTGTAGTCCTCTACTGGAATAAGTAGCACTGAAAATTTCAGCTTTATATCTTTAATAGAAAAACAGTTATGACCTTTCAAAGTTTTCCAAAAATATCATAACCTTCTTACTAAAACCATGAAATTTCAATTGTTTTTTGTTGAGATTTTATGTCCTAATGGTTATTTGGGATTCCCCAATACACTAAATTATTCTCAGATTTGAAGCCGAAATCTATGAAAAGAGGCACTCAGAACTGAAAAATTGATAAATTTACCCCAAATTGCATTTCACGATTTTATTTCTAGATTATAAGTCCTAATGAGCTTTAATTTTCAGGGATTGTAGTCTATGATCTCATGCCATATTTCTGACTTCACACTGCTGCTGATACTACATTTGTAACGTGAATAACTATTAAACATTTTTAAAAAAATGTATTTATATTTGAAAAATCACAAAATATAACAAATTTCATAAATGTATTCTAAATATATTAAAGGTACGCAAAATGGAAGAACAAAACATTAACAAACATAAAAAATACTTGGAAGATTAAACAGAGACATTTAAGTATATCAAATCAGTACTAAAGATGACAAGACTTTTGAGGCACAAAATCTAATTTTGCTCCTAGTCTCTAAAAATACCTCAGAAGTAATGACAAATTAAAAAAAAAAAAAACTAGAAAAACAAATATTGAACTAAGATTCAAATCGAGTGTTCTATTTCACTTTTTCCTTTTTGCCTGAAGCTTGTTGTTTGCCATCTTTAGCTTCCTTCTTTTTCTCTTCAACTTTTTCATCAATAGAATCTTCATACCTAAAGAACAAAATATTTAAAAAAAAACATCCACACAAAAAAAATCACCAAAATCCCTTACTTGAACAACGCCGTCAGGTCACCCTTAATCAAAGCCAAAGCCAACGGAGTACCGACGCAAGCTGGCACTAAATACAATAGAGCGGGTTGGGCGTGTTTGAAGACGTGCATCACAAAAATAGTGGCCATCAGTCCTAGGAAATAAGCCACTATGGTAGCGTGGAAGTAAAACTTTGATTTGCGTTTCAGGCTGAGATCGAATCGCAATAGGAGAGCAATAAAAATGCCCGGAATAACTATGTCGCCTAAACCTAACATGGCAAAATTGTTGGCAGCTAATCCGTTGGTTAGCAGATCTTGAGGAAAGACAACTGGAAAAAATTATCATTTATTTCAAATTGAAATAATAAAAGGCAATATTTTTACGTTTGATTGGTGCCTCGAAACTCTTAGCTACAGTCACCATAACATCAGTACCAAACACCCAAAAAATATCGTAAAAGAACAATCCACACAACAAGATGCATCCAGTAACCACGTTGTTCAAATGCAACAATTCTACTGCGTTTACTGCAAACGCTAGACCAAATAGATTATTGGCCACCCAGTGTTTTTGCAGCAAGTACCAGGTTCCAACTAGAGAGCAAGCTGCCAAAGAGACCACGTCGTATGTTGAAAAACGATAGTCGATCAGGTACTGTGCAGTTTCACCTTCTCCTTGTTTGAAGGTGATGTGGAACGGAATGTTTGGTATTGCGGCCGGAACTAGATTACCTATAACAGGACTAAAGAATGGAATCTTAGTGAATGTTTTGGGTTTTGTTAGGACAAGAGTTTTACCTTAATAAATGGGTAAGAGCTAAAATGCCTAGGAAAAAGAAATAACCTGTTAACAATAGATTAATGTATTCTTTAGAGAATAGTTTGAAGACTATGTACAGGGCGAACAGAGCACAGGAAGCCATTATTGGGAACATGGCTGCATCTTTTTTGGTCATTTTTTCTGGTTTCTGAAAAACAAAATCCAATTGAAAACACTTTCTTCATGGTTAAATGTTTGGAACATTACTGATGATCAATTATTAAGTTATGAGGAGTTTCAAAATATTAAAAAAATTAAACTAATCAAGATCATTATATTATAAAACTAGACCACTGATTTTAGAAAAATGTCAGTATCCAGATGTTTCTTTACAACTTTCTTATTTACCATTTCATACAATTAGGTACTCCAGGGAAATTTAAGTTCAAGATGTTATTGTCTTGGTAAATATCGGTTCTTACTTTTTCCTTATGGTAAACTACAGATCTGTAAGAACCAAAAATGATGGGCAACATAGCCATGAATACAATGCTACCATAAGCCACTGCCATTCCCTCCGGCGTACTTGGTGTCCTTTCCGTCTTGTTTCCGGCATTTTCTGTTAGATTTTCACTAGTTTGTGCTAAAATACTTTTCACGAAATTATCCATCTTTTCATAAGAGCTGTAACATGAATTTTTAACTATTTTTAACGGGACTGAGAGTTCGGAAACGAAAAGACTGCCAAACTAACGTAGTAGATTCCTGACTCTGACGTGGGGTAAGGTAAGAGGTAAGTAAAATCTGTTAACTTTTATATGGTTTTTTTTGCTGTGCTTTGCGTGGCAAATGCAAATGTCAGATACAGTTGATTGCATTTGACAGAAAAAAGAAAACAATGGAAAAAATCAGTATCACCAACTGTAAAAGTTGCCTATACGAATTCCACTCAGTGTTGCCACCCCTATTACAATCGTAATAGATATATTACAATCAAGTAATTTCTATTACGCTATTACCAAAGGAAAAAATCTATTACTTTTTCGGGAAAATTATGTTTTGACGAATAAGCAATTAAAAAATTTTACAGGCGTCATAATTTATTACAGCAGAACACTTTTAAAAAACATCATTTGTCAATGTTGTGTCCACAGAGGCCGAGTTCGTTTTTGTCATCTTTTTCGTCGATTTGCTCCGAAATTTTGACAGGCACGTGACTGGATAAGACAGTTTCAGTTTATAAATCACGTGCCTGTCGAAATTTCAGAGCAAATCAACGAAAAAGATGACAAAAACGAACTAGGCCAGAATACATATCCTCACGGATAGAAGGCAAACTGCCTAATAAAATTTTGGGGAACAATACGCCGTTACGGCGCGGTGGATACGATCCGAACTTTTTATAATAAAGGTTTCTGTAATCAAATCAGCTTTCAAAATAGTTCTCCCATTGTCAATATTTTCATATATAATATCACAAGAGAAAAAATTTTGTCGGCAAAATTTTCGAAAGGTATGAAAGTTTGTTGCTTGGCAATTTCGCGAGTGACATTTTTGACAAAATCACAGAACATATCTCAAATGGAAGAATCGCGACAAAGGTTTTTAGTTAGGTTTGCATTCAACGATGGCGACACTGTCGGGAGATAAGAGAAATTTACAGGTATCTGTGGTGTGGACAGTGATTTGTGTTGGTTGGTCTTGTCATTTATTTTGTCATTTTAAAAGTCAAAATTTGAATTTTTAAATTGTGTTGTTGTACCCCACGGTTTCCACGCGCGTTAAAGTGAAAATTCAAAAAGTTTTGGTTGAAAAAAAACCTAATTTTTGTTCGTATTTTTTTGTATTTATTCGTTTGTTTCGTTTCGTTCGTATTTGTATTTATTATTCGTATTTACTTTGCGATCTACCTATAACTGCGTGTCTCTTGCTAACTGATTCTTTTTGCACTATGTTCGACATCGGAAACTTCCTGCCAGTCATAGTTTTTAAGAAAATGAGGCGAAAAGAGCTAAGAGGAGTCAGCAAGCCAAATGCAGTTGAACATTAAAAATTATACAAAAATAATAAAAATATATGAAATAAATCAGTTCGCCTTTTTGTCAAGAATACTCGATTAGTTGGGTTTTCAGTCAACGAGGGCGCCGTAATTCATAACCAGTTACAGTGACTTTATTACCACAGTGGCGACAATTGCTGTCTCATTTTTGATTGGTTCTAAAATCGCATATATTTATATTGAAAACACCGCCATCTTGTTCCCAAGCCCTTGTTACTTTCAAATATGAATATATGGGATTTAGGTGAACATTCATCATAAATCATGGAAAACAACGTATTTGATGGACCTAATACTGGTCATCAAATACGTCGATTTCAATTTTTTATGATAGATGTCCATTTAAATCCTATATATAAATATTTAAAAGTAACAAGAGGTTGGGATCAAGATGGCGGCGGGACCTCTATTGTCGCCACTGTATGTAAAGGTTTATTTAGCCACTGTATAACCAGTTACAGTGGCTAAATAAACCTTTACATACAGTGGCGACAATAGGGATTCCGCCGCCATTTTGTTCCCAACCTCTTATTACTTTTAAATATTAATATATAGGATTTAAATGGACATCTATCATAAAAAATTGAAATCGACGTATTTGATGACTATTATTAGGTCCATCAAATACGTTGTTTTCCATGTTTTATGATGGATGTTCACCCAAATCCCATATATTCATATTGAAATAAGCAATAGGTGGGAACAAGATGGCAGCGTTTTCAATACAAATATATGGGATTTTAGAACCAATCAAAAATAAGACAGCAATTGTCGCCACTGTGGGTAATAGAGTCACTGTATGTGGGACTAGTAAACACCGATCTGCTGCTGAGATCTGCTCGAAGCAACAAAAGCAGCACAAATGAGAATGTTGAACTGTCCAATGGCCGTTTGTACCCAAGTATAATACACACTACTACACAGGATTGCTTATCGCTTCGTTTTTGCGCCAGCGGTCGTCGCTTTATGGCGTTTCCGATTGGTAGATCTAGTGCAGAACTAGTGCAATTTTTTCTATTCCTGTCTTTTTCTTCTACAGGTCGAATAAAAGGATGCAAATACACACAGTGCGCACTGAATCTACCAATCGGAAACGCCATCAAATAGAATAGAGAGTCGTGAGCATTAAAAGTGGGACACCCGCCTGACAGGTCTTGTCATTTTTCGCTATTTTGGGTAAATCAGTCTTTTCTGCTTCCCGATTCTCGACCTCTAGTCGCAACCCATCGTCCCCGACTTCCCATTGCTCGATTGAGAATCCCGCTCCTGGGGTGCGTTCAAAGACGGCAATGCTAATGCCAAAACCAATGAACTATAACCAAAAACTGGAATGCGCATACAGATTGACGAACGTGAAGCCTAGTGCCGCTGCTGCGGAGGGGATACCTGTTTTTGTCGCACTCATTATGTTAAATGGCGGAAATTGCTTCCAACACGTATTCCAATTGATGAAACCTGTGAAGGTAAATATGACAAAACTTTCCAAAACGTCATATGTCAGCGAGCAACAGAAAAAAACAACATTCCCCTTTGTGGCATCTGTCTTTCATGGCTTCATTTTTGTGGCAGATATAGCAATATGTGCGCATTCCAGTTTTGGCTATAGTTCATTGGCCAAAACTTACTTTTCCCCCTCCACCAGTAATGCCGAACCACGTAGGTTGAAGCCGAACTCGAACGCAAAACCACTGTAAGCAAAAGCCCGTGGAATCATAATCTGTGGTGCAAACAAACACTAGTGACTAGGGCGAGAAACCTCCCTTAAAATGGGGGGCAAACGGCCATAATAGAATGGACTTTAAATTCGACAAAAAGTAAAATCGACCTTTTCTCGATATATCGCTATTTTTAAACCGCCATATCGATACTTCAAAAATATCGATATTCAATCTTTTGCCTTTGCCATGATGCCACGCCACTGGGCATGGGCACTGTTGTCAGTTTTTAAAAAGCCATCACGAAGGTCACTCATCATAAAAACCCGAAACTAAAAAATCCTCTTTTAAATTAAGACTGCTACATGAAGAAACCAAAAAGTAAATCTACCAACTAACTAAAACATCGTCAAGTCAAAACCGAAGAATTCCAATGCTGCAAAACTCGACCAACAGAATCCTAACCTACAAATGATAGAAGGACTTGTTTAAATGGCCAATAATGGTTTGGGAAGCTCCAAACAGTCCGGCAAACCAGAGAACTCGGCGCTCATTACTCAAACCAACTTGGAATGTAAGAATCTCTACGACTATCTCAAAACCAGACCTCGAACCGTATTGGAAAAGCTCTACAATCATCCGGCTATTTGCTTGGCGGTTTATAGAGAATTACCAGAGTTAGCCAGACAATATGTGATAAGGATATTGTTCGTTGAACAGCCTGTACCTCAGGCCGTAGTGGCTTCATGGGGCAGTCAAAGTTTTTCAAAAGAGCACACCTATGTAACTAAAGTACTGTCCGAATTGAACGTTTGGGTTGAAGACTCGTTACCAGGAGGTTTATTAGGGTGGGTACTGGCGCCTACATTTAAAAAAAACCTTAAAGTAGCTCTTATGGGTGGTGGAAAACCATGGAGCATGTCGTCAGCTCTAGAACCAGATAAGAACCCAAGAGAAATTGGGTTTTTGGATTCATATTCATCAGAAAGATGGGAATGTGTTTTACATTATATGGTTGGATCCCAGCAGCAAGAAGGGATATCAGCTGATGCTGTTAGGATTTTATTGCACGCAGGCCTAATGAAACGAGATGAAGAGGATGGCAGCCCAGTAATTACCAGACAAGGGTTTCAGTTTTTGTTATTAGACAGACAAGCACAAGTATGGCACTTTTTACTTCAGTACTTGGACACTGTTGAGCAAAGAGGTTTAGACTTGATTGAATGCTTAACGTTTTTATTCCAATTAAGCTTCAGCACTTTAGGCAAAGATTACAGTACTGAAGGCCTCAGCTCCGGTCTGTTAATTTTTCTGCAACACTTGAGAGAGTTTGGATTAGTCTATCAAAGGAAACGTAAAGCTGGGAGGTTTTACCCTACCAGACTAGCCTTAAATATCACGAGCAGCCAAAATAAAAACATCCCTATCTTGGAAGAAGACACTCCCAAAGGTTACATAGTTGTGGAAACAAATTACAGGGTTTATGCTTATACAGACTCAAATTTACAAGTGGCCCTTATCGCATTGTTTACTGAACTAATGTATAGATTTCCCAATTTGGTTGTGGGAGTGATTACCAGAGACTCAGTAAGACAGGCATTAAGGGGCGGTATTACTGCAGACCAAATCATTGGCTACCTCAAACAGCACGCCCATCAAAAAATGCTGGCCCTAGAAGCCAAGCAAATTCTACCTCCAACTGTTGTCGATCAAATCAAACTGTGGGAATTGGAAAGGAACCGGTTGACTTATAACGAAGGGGTTTTATATAGTCAGTTTTTATCTCAGGTTAGTAAATGTTGGCTTTTTATTAGGATGGGGCTGATGTTTTTGGTTTTAGGCTGATTTTAATGTATTGAAAGAATATGCCCAATCGAATGGTGTATTAATTTGGTGCAACAAAGAAAAACGGACTTTGGTGATACACAAAAACGCTCACGATGATGTGAAGAAGTTCTGGAAAAAATATTCGAAAGGAAGTTAGGATTAGGTTTACATTTAAGCTATTTAATAAAAAAACTGTTTCATATAGAAGATATATTTAATATACCAAAGAAAAACCCTAATATTTCCAAAACTATACAACTGTATTCATAAGTTCAATAACTGTCATTTAGTGGTGGCTCTTTAGTGTATTTATCTGCCCCGGTTCTTTCCCCTGCAAAATGTTGACGGTGCCTTTCCATTCTCATAGCCATGATTCTCTGAAATTGTTTACGTTTGAAAACGCACTCGTCGAAATCCCTCAACAGGTTTTCGCACTCTTTCATTCCTCTGGCCATGCCGTACGCCTCCAAACAGTCCAACGTTTTCATTTCGATTTCTTTACAAGGTCCTTTGCCCCATTGGTTTGTTACCGCCGGATAGAACACGTCGTTGAATGGAGATTTGACGAACGGGGATAAAATCGACATTCTAAAAAGAATTGGGAGTTGTTAGGGTGTGATATTTCAGGTTTCATGCAAGAAAATATTCGAAAGAGTTTAATGTTATGTCATACTGATTAGAATGAAGAGGTTACTGGAAATTTTGTTTGAATGGACAATGTATTTACAAATTTGGAAAATGATAAAATATACCGACCTGCTAGTAGAATATCAATACTTTAGGGGGCCCAAACAGTTAGTTGTTAGTTTATTTTTATAGTTTGAGAATATGGGATTTTTGATAATCAGAATTATATATTTATAAAAATATTTGACAGTAACGTGACAGTAGACTGACGATGTCGATTGTCGATGACATTAGTAGGTCGAGAACTAGCAATCGATAGTAAGCGCTTATCGATCGCTACATTAGTTGTATTTACTTTCAAGAGTTTAGAACACTAGAGCTACTCGTTTTGGTGTTACTCAACCTTTGAAAGGAACAGATGTGCTGTTTTTCGTGCATTTAAATAGTTTTGTTCGGGCTTGAGCACTTCAGCTGCAACAAACACTTTTCGAAAGGAATAAGCGTGTAACGCCCCGGAGCTCTTCCTAGATGTGAAAGGAATACAACTAGTAGCGCTACTTACCTTGCGTTCGGTATTTTGCTCAAAGAGCAGAGCCTGCAGAAGCGGAGCCGTGATCACGTGATGAGCGAACGCACAGAGCAGTTAAACGCTGTATCAAAGCGCTCGAAAATTTAATAGACGAACGCGAATGAGCCTGCACCGAGCACACTTTTTAAGTAAACGAACGGTAAATTCAAGCTCGGAGAACTGAGATCAAAATCTCGAACGCACGGAATCACAAACCAGTCAGAGCGAATTTCATTGGTTGAAAACAGTCAGAAAATTAGTTTCAACCAATGAAATTCACCCTGACTGGTTTGTGATTCCTGCAGAAACAGACTTTTAGAGGTGTTTTCTCGCGGGTCGAAGGGTTCGAACTACGGTCTAAACCAATTTGTAGATGACGTCATCACTGATGAACGCGAGAAAATGGAAGGTTTAAACTGCTTTAAACACTGTCTTATGTCAACGGAGAACAAGCCAGAAGTCCGGTTCAAACTTTTTCGAACCAGGTGCAATGTGACGTCACTGGTTCAACACAAGAGTGTACAGCTTCAAACCTATTTGAACCGGATCGAACCAGCTCCTCCGTGAGAAAACATCTCAAATCTGTTTTAAGAATAGACCTATCTCGCATGATTAGAAAAAGAGAGCTTAATTGTAATAAATACAAGTTAGAAAGCAATAAAAGATGACATGCGCGCGCAACTCGTAGGCTGCTGTGTAGCCAGATTGTATTGTTGCAGAATAAATGTAGACAATACAAATCGAATATTATAACATTAAAGAAGTGATATAGTGTCAAGTGTTTTACAATGCCTTATATCAGACAAAAGAAGAGTTTTAAAGTGGATGAACACCGTTTGCACTTTTATTTTGATAAATGTTTCCTCCGGCAACATCGCTCAATGAAATTGCAAAGGAATATGTCAAGTATAATCTTAAACGAAACTGCGGTGAGTTCAAGTAATATGCAAAGAATTAGTTTGCTCTTTGTCAAATTACACGTTACAAAGAAAGAAGGAACAATTCATTCTGAACTGGCCCCGGAATAAGAATATGACGCAAGCCTGTCACAAACTTGCTTCTCATTGGACGCTCACCTGCAGCCTACAAGCGACGCGCGCAGTCCCGGGCTGCGTTCAGGAGTGACTACAGCCAAGCCAAAATTGGCATTTTGCGTTCGATTTCGGCTCCAACCTACGTGGTTCGGCATTACAGGTGGAGGGGGAAAAGTAGGTTTTGGCATTAGCAATATTAGCATTGCCGTCCTTGAACGCAACCCAGGTAATAGGAGATAGGTCTATTGATCAAAAATTTGTTCCGAACTTATTTACTGTCAAATGAAACCCTAAACTATATAGATCACAAAATCTTAATATAAGTGTACTGGAACACATCGAATTTACTCTTTTTTATTCGTAGTTCATTTAGAACCGGTTCCAAATCGACTCTGAACTGATTCAAATTTGTATTAGGCTTGTTCGGGCTTATTTCAAAATTGAACTGCGCTTACGCATTTGTTCATATTGAACATACATTCTGAGCAAACCCATCATTGTTACGATGTTCCGAACACATTGAATCGTCCGCAGTTCATTTAGAACCGGTTCATATAATTTTTGAACTGGTTCTCAGAGTTCCGAGTAGTTGCATTGCTGTTCTGAACTAGAGAAAATCATGGACTAAAGTGCGTTTTTTTTTTAAAGATAATTCCTCAAGTCAAAAATTTAGTAACTATGTTGGCAACACAAGCCTTTTCTATATGAAAAGTTTGAAAGCATTGACAATTTTACATTGTATTGCCAACATAATGTCAGTTTGACTTTTATCTTTAAAAAAAAACGCACTTTAGTTTATTATTATACGGATACGGTGCACGAGAATCCTAAATTAGTGCCCTGAAACACATTAAGAATTCATTTAGAACCGGTTACAGATCATTTCACAATTGATTTTAAAAGTTCCGACTGCTACAATTGCTGTTCCGAATTCGAAATAAACTTAAACTGAATTGAATTGGAGCACATCGATTGTTCGTAATTCAATTAAAACCGGTTCCGAATAGATTTTGAAGTCTTGTACTGGTTCACTATCGAGCAATCTTCAATTTGTGTGCCAGATTATTGAATTTACTGTTCTTTGTTCGCAGTGCAACAAGAATCAGTTCCAAATCGGTTTTATTTTTTTTTGAACCCAAAAACCTGTTCCGAACATGTTTGCTTTTATACTCTTCAATATTCGAACTCACTCTAATTTACTTCGAAGGAGTAAAAAATACAATCTTGAACGATTTGCTTACTCAGAGCACTCTAAATATGGCAAATAGAGTAATTATGTTCATGTTTGAGTATAAGGAGGAAAATAAAGTCTGTTTTTTTTTTTGAAGATCCTCAAGTCAAAAATTTAGTATATGTTGGCAACACAAGCCTTTTCTACATAAAAAATTTGAAAACATTGACAATTCTACATTGTATTGCCAACATGATGTCATTTTGACTTTTATCTTTAAAAAAAACACACTTTAAATAAACTTTCATTTTAACAGAGTTAAATTAAGAGGTGCTTTCCAGTGACCCATTTGAGTTACTCCTAAGCAGCTCAGGAGTGCTCCAAATTGCTTTGCGCGTTCCAGTGCTTAAAGTGTCGTACACTTGAACTACTCATTTCTGTTAGCCCCCTCGTGCACCAACCCTTTTGTCTGTGTTTCATGCTCCTGAAATCCGAAATGGTGGGGGTTAAGACGAGAGCGTTCCAGTGCTGCTTATGTCGAACAGTTCAAGAGCGTTACACTTCAGGAGCATGATACTCTAACAATTTAGGAACTGGAAAGCGGCTCAGTGCACTAAGGGTGGGTATTATAAAACTGCTTTGACAGTTAACTTGAAGTTAACTTTTTGAAATACATGTATTTTCAGAAGTTAACTTTAAGTTAACTCTCAAAGTAGTTTTATAATACCCGCCCTAAAACGAGAATCTTATAGCGTTTTCTGTTGGTAAAACTCGTGCTGCACTCATGCAAAAATCATGTTCTGTTGGCAGTTTCCGATCGGGTTTTTCCAGGGCAATCAATTATTGCCCTCGTGCAACTTTTCCAGCACGAGGTCAGATAGCTCGTGCCAATAGTTGTATTCCTTTCACACCTAGGAGGAGCTCCGGAACAGCTCCGGGGCTTCACGCGCTTATTCCTTCCGAAAAGTGTTTGTTGCACCACGCATATGTTCCCTGCAAATCGGGGGCGACTAAGCACCGATGCGAGTAGCTCGAGTGTTTCAAGCTCTTGAAAGGAATACAACTAATGTCAGGGCACAACAAAAATGGCGTAAAGTGCCGAAAAGTCTGTGTATAAACAAAACCAAAAAATTATGGATGTCGATATTGATAAAATTCTATATTTTTTATCTTCGTCGAGCGACAGCGATGAAGAGGAAGAATTATTAGGTCTGTTTTTGCAGAAATCACAAACCAGTCAGAGTGAATTTCATTGGTTGAAACTAGTTTTCTGACTGTTTCTGACTGTTTTCAACCAATGAAATTTACTCTGACTGGTTTGTGATTTCTGCAGAAACAGACCTTATTATTATATAGAATTATTATATAGAATCGCAGGCCTATGATGTATCATTTTCTGTTATTTTAACAGCATCGTCAAAATAGAGACAGAAATAGATGTTGAGCCTTAACACAGACGTTGAAATAACAGGACAGGATACATCATAGGCCTGAATGTTAGCCGATAATGAGATATCAAAAATTCAAAATTTTATTATTGAAATTGACATAAAAATTAATTTCAACGCAGGTATCATTAGAATTATTCCTGCACATCTCGGGAGACAGCATAATTATGTACTTTACATACAGCAAAAACTTCCGTTTTCAACTTTTTCATACACACAAACGTTTTTAATTTTTATTCCATTGAAAATATCTTTAGGTTAGGTTAGCGATCAGGGATCGTTAAATAATAAATTTGAAAAGAATGACAAAACGCGCCAAATTCATGTTTATTTGGGATTGCACTGAACGTGAACTGATTCAGTGTTGAGTGCAGAACTCGGACAGCACGAGTTTTACCAACAGAAAACGCTATTTGACCAGATGGAGTAACTGCTAACGTTGCCCTATTAGTTTCGAACATAAAAAAACCTACACTAGATCCAGAATTAGTGTTCTAGAGGTAACAATAAACAGAGTTTCAGTTGAAAATGTCGACAGGAACGAAATCTCCTCTGAAATGTACGCAAACGTAACCTAACCTGCAACGATAAATAGAAACATCGAGAACTCGCCAGGGATTCGCGGCGTTCCGTATCTAACTAGAGTTACCGATTGGTATGGAGCGGTTCGTCTATAGGTGCTTTCCAGTGACCCATTTGAGTTACTCCTGAGCAGCTCAGGAGTGCTCCACAATTGCTTTGCGCGTTCCAGTGCTTAGAGTGTCGTACACTTGAGCTACTCATTTCTGTTATCCCCTGCCCCCTCATGCACCAACCCTTTTGTCTGTGTTTCATGCTCCTGAAATCCGAAATGGTGGGGGTTAAGACGAGAGCGTTCCAGTGCTGCTTATGTCGAACAGTTCAAGAGCGTCACACTTCAGGAGCATGATACTCTAACAATTTAGGCACTGGAAAGCGGCTTATGGTGACAGTCTGGTTCCTGAGAATGCGGTTTATGTGTGGAACCGCGTTTCATAACCTAACCAGATTTCGGGAGTGGTTAGGTTACGGAACGGGAACCGGAAAAACCAAGAATCTTGGTTAACTTACGGAACGTCGCCTAAAATCACGATTCGACACACGACTCGACAACGAGACGATTTTTCCGACGATTCTAGGTTAGAAATCTCATTGGAATTAGGGAATCCAAACCACGTGACTTTTGCCATCCAGCCGGCATTTTGAAATTTTTATGAGGTTAGAATACGGGTTGTTACATGTCAACGATGTCAGTATTGATAAAGCCTAGTACTCATAACAGCGAAATTCGCTGTTTTTTGACATTAGAGAGTTATTGGAACTATTAAATACTGCTTCGCAGTATTAAGGATTTACGTTATTTCATTAGTGCATCAGCACTATTTTTCCAAGAAAAAAACAGTTATTGGAAGACTGTATTAGGCGATTTTCAGCCTGGAATGATTATTTATCGGTAAATACCGTGGTTATTCTTTTGGTTGACAACTTTGACAGTCATAGCCCCCCACCACTCAAGAATCATAACCCAAGGAACTGACCGCTGAAATGATTTGGTTATAGCAGTATAGGATTATGTTTATTATTCCTATTTGTTTTTTCGTTTCAACAATGGTTTGTTGTTTAGGTACAGAAATTAGAGCGGAATCTCTCGTTAGTCTCGTTTATCGAACAGATTTTCTTTGGGGATGATCTAAACCTCGATCTAAACATGATGAGTTGCAGTGAGTGAGTGAGTGTATACTTCTTCCATTGTAACAGGCCACAACACAACTGCAAAATCACAAAACACCAATACCAATTCCCAAAATAATAACAATAACATCAAAAAGCTGTAACCAAAAGATTAACCCAAGTCCAAAGCTGGGTTATAATCGGTTATAAGTGGTAAATACCAAAAGCAAATCAGCTGATATGTGACATCACAACTTCCCCTACTTTGGTTAAAACCGCGACGGCGGAAATGCATTTGGTTATAACCAAATAATAATCATTTCAGGCTGAAAATCGCCTATAGTATTACCTTATTTTGTATTCATAATTTTGACAGCTGATAGCTATGTTTATAAAATTCAGCCTCAAAAAGTATTTATTTTTGTTTGTGATTTTCTGCTGATACCCATTTTTTGATGTTACCCACAGTAAAATGGAAAACTATTGTAAAAAATAAATTTTCTAAGTAAAATTACATCATCGTGGAAAAGCGAAATGTCAAAGTCGTCCAAAATGTCAGAAATTTGAAATAAGGGAAGTTTACGGCGTTGCACTAATCATACACAAATAAAGACAAGCAGTAACCTTATTAAGGGAATCCTTATTTTCGGACCCAAATGCGCATGCGTAGATGTCAAAATAAGGCTAATTTAAATACTGCTTGTCCTTATTGCACGTCCAATAACTCTCTATTGCTTCGACAATTTGACGTTTGTTTTATGTGTGAATCAAACGTAAAAAAAACGAATTTCGCGGTTATGAGTACTAGGCTTAATCCCGTCAAAATAAAAACATATGTTTTTTGTTTATTGTTTGCCTACCAGACGCCATTTGGACGGGTCGTTGGATTGCCTAATGAATCGTGATTTTAGAATCTCGGCCCTCTCTATTTAAGTTAGGTCACTTGTCATTTTTAAAGATTCTATCAATCAAATTCGTTTTTTCGCGGGGCGAATGGTTCAAACTACGGATTAAAACAATTTGTAAATGACGTCATCATTGGTGAACGCGGGAAAATGGATGGTTTGAACACAGTCTTTTGTCAACGAAGAACAAGCCAAGAGTCCGGTTCGAACCAGGTTCAATGTGACGTCATTGGTTCAACGCAAGATGGTACAGGTTGGAACCTAATTGAATCGGATTGAACAAGTTCCGCCGCGAGAAAACAGCTTAGTTTCAATTTACAAATCACGTGCCTGGGGCCTGTTAAAATTTTGAAGCAAATTGACGGAAAAGATGACAAAAACGGACACGGCTATATTACGTCCTGATGAACGATGAACGTCAGCCATGGTGATTTGTCGGTTCTCACAGAATCCATAAACTGGTCAAAGCGTTTCTGATAAATGCACCTTATTAAAAGAACGAGTTACTCGCAAATCTAAAGAAAACGCTGCTCTGTTCGCGAACATTTGGAACCCTATTTTGAACTAAATTTTTGAACAGCTTCATCTTGCTCCGGAGTGATAAAGGAACGGTTCGGATCAAACCAGATAAAGGTAAGCAAACGTCAGAGCTGCCAACCTGAATTATGGTAATCAAATAAATTGTAGCAAGTTATTTTTTTTAATTGTTGGCTAAACTGGATGCATTTGCACTTTGCAGCTGTTCGATTTTTTTTCAAAATATTATCGTCCAACCCAATAAAGAAATTGTTGCGCAGTTCAACATGATTCTACTTTCATTTTTTTCTCATTGCCATTGATTTAAATGAAACCAGGATTCAGTTCAGTGTTAGAATAAAAGAACAAAGGGAATGTGATACAGGTGAATATGGTTCATACTTTGTGTGTGTGTTTTTTTTTTGTCAAACTACTCCTGCAAACATTCTCATAATATTAATGTTTTACTCATTCATCTTCACATTATCACCATAAACAATTTCCTAGTTTATTTCATCCACAATCAAAAATAGAATTTGCACTCGACAATTATCGTATTTCATTTCATCCAACAGGCTCAGAATAAAATAATGGATAACCTTGCTGAATGCTCCAGACCGAAAAAATCGAAATCCTGCTCCATTGAATACCGCAACAACCTCAAATCGCAATGGGCCTTTTTGCCATCCGTAGTGTTGCACCAAGTGTTTGATTTATTAGATGCCGAAGACAGGAAGAATGCTTCCAGCGTTTGTAGACATTGGAGAGAGAGCCTGTTCCATCCCAAGTAAGAATCTATTATTTGTTTGTGTTAAATTTGTTACTTTCACCCAATAAATTGGCCAACATATGCTAGAATAATTGATAGTCTTTATTTATTGAGAGGGCCGAGGAGAGGGCACAATCTTCTTTGGGGCTTGAAGAAAAGGGGCCTGTTGCCAAAGGCACTAATAGAGTTAAAAATTCTGTAGAATTTACTTTGAGATTGCATTTATCAACTTCCTATTACAATTGAATAATTTTAGCAAAATTTACTACATATTATCTGATTAGATTTATTGATGATAGAAACACTAAAAAACCTGTAGAAGTCAATAACTCATAATACTTATACATAAATCTTAAGTTAAAATATTTGCCATATGGAAAATTGATAGTAGGTACAGGTGTTATACAATCCACTGCATTTATCATAATATAAATGTAATCACAATCTAACTAATGCGATTATGAGAGATTACCTACTATAAAACAACATAAAATAAAATATTTCAAACCAATTGGAAATTCAAAGAAAATAATAAGATGCCCATTCCAAAACATTGTCTCTTATTCCATTCTTTTTAATTTCCTCGAAATGACTAAGTAAGTACCTATTTCCCTATTCAAGTAATTTGCCTTTGTCAAATCCATAAAATTTATGAAAATCTCAGAATTTAAAAAGCGCAATTGAAGTGGATTTACGCTTGAGATAGTTATATCAATTTCCATTTGCCAGTTACTTCTTGACAAAAATAGCCCACATACCTAGGTACACTTAATTTCATTACCAGATTTTTAATAAAGTTTCTAATTCAATAAATTGTCATAAGTATTTTGTTTTTGTCTGATTATAGATATTATGTTCTTGCAGTTCACGATTTTTCCTTCCTTGTTGTTTCACTATTGATGTGAGAGAATTTTGAGACTTATTTGGACATTAAAGAACCCATAGATAACTTATTTTTGTTAGTCTCTATAATAATGATGATGATGATGGGTCAAGGTGTACTTTTTGTTTTCCTAGTCTAGCGAATTAGCGATTCACATTGAACTTGCTTATTTGAAATTCTAATTTTTAGAAATCAAAAACAGATTATTTTCAAATAATTTCATGAATAATTGCATTTTCAATATTCAGAGCAATTATTTTTGCTGATATGAAATGCTATTTTTAAAGTCCTAATTTAAATACAAATACCGAATTGCAGATTTTGATGAATAATTGGATGTGAGTTTACTGATCTTTTTCAAATGAAATTAAAATGCACTTTTTTTATTGGTCTAAAGGATACAGTTTAACATAGTAAAATCCAAATTTTTTGCTTGATAGAAAAAACACCATTTTTTCAAAGAAATTTGGTCATTGCTTGAATTTTTTATAAAACTCAACATTTTGATAGCTAAAAGTAACAACAACAAAAATACAGTGAAACTTCTCTAACTCGAAATAATCTCTAAATCGAATTTTCTTCACAAAAAAATACGTTCTCACAACCTCACTATGTATTTTTTCCCCATAAGTCGAATTTCTAAATTCTAGTAACTCGAACTAAAATTTAGTGTCAACTGTGGCCACAACTAAGCGTAACTCGAATTTTCAGGGAAGTATCTACTGCATTTAGTGCACTTGGGAAATTACCGATTCTCAGTGACCAGCGGCGACAGATAGACTTGTCTTGGTTTATATAATGTGTTACTATTTTTTTGTGATACAAACATAAATTCAAATATCCTTAGATTTTTCCATAAATCGAATTTTCTGTAACTGGAACTCGACTTCCTGTCTCTTAAACATTCGATCATCAAAATTTATATTACTATTCTTTAATTCTACATTCTACTAATTTTATGAATAAGCAAATTTTTAATCGATAAATGGATTCATTTTTAAATATTTTGATAGTCCATATGTAAAATTTGGGTCTCAATGAGGAAGTTTATGGATACATTTTATAATTTGGTTTTGCAATGTGTATGTATTTGTGAAGGTGTCAAATAATTTAGTCGCTTTTGCTTTTGTTGAAATAGAAATCAAGTAGGTATTGAACTTTTGAGTAAATTAATGCATATTATTATTATTATTATTATTATTATTATTATGTTTTTGGCAATGGAAAGCGGCCTAAGAGCGATGAGTCCATCACTTTTGATTTTTCACTTTTAGTTTTGTTTTTGGTACTTTCTTAAAAATAATGCACTAATGTGTTGTTTATGGTACAAAGATTTTGGTCTAGTTTATTTTTGAAAATGTTTTTGTTTGGTGCACTTATCATTTCTGGGCTCAGGGAATTCCATTTATAGACTACGCGATTGGTTAAAAAGTTTTTCCTTCCAAGAAGAACAGTTCTCTCTTTTTCCAGTTTTTGGTGTTGTCCTCTGAGGTTTAAGTTTGGATTCATTTGGCACATATCTTTCAGTTTTAGGTCTGTAGAGTAGTAGCCATTTAGGATCTTATGTGTTTCAATTAGGTTTCCTCTTTCGCTTCTTTCTCTGAGTGTTGTCAACTGGAATTTTTGTAGTCTTATTTCGTATGGCAGATTTCTAAGTTCAATTGGAATTTTGGTTATTTTTCTCTGCACACTTTCTAAGAGATTTATGTCTTTGATGTAGTAAGGAGACCAAACTGTGTGGCCATATTCTAGTTTTGGTCTAATATAAGTGGTATACAGTTTTTTTTAAATCATTTTTACAGTTTGATTTCCAGAAACTTGTCTCATAAGGTATATTAGTTGCTTGGCCTTCTTTACTGTGTGGGATATATGGGTTTCCCATTTCAGATCATCAGTGACATAGACTCCTAGGTCTTTCTGTTCTGTGACTTTTCTGAGTTCGACCCTATTTATTTGGTAGTTGTATCTAGGGTTATTTCGTCCTATGTGTAAAACTGTACACTTTTTTTCATTTAGTTTTAGCTGCCATGTGGTTGTCCATTTTTCTACAGTGCTCATGTCTTCCTTTAGTTGATGCAGTTGTGTTAAAGGATTTCCATATAGTTTTTTGTCATCTGCAAAGGATTTTACTTTGGTTTGAATAGTTTTTGACAGATCAGAAATGTACATTATAAAAAAAAGAGAAACAAGTACAGATCCTTGTGGTACTCCGCTGACGACTGAGTACCAATCAGAGCTGGTTCCATTTGCTCCAACATAGAAAGTTCTTTGGGTAAGAAAGGAGCTGCTCCATTGGAGGTACTTGCCTCTTATTCCATAATGGCTCAGTTTGTAGTAGAGTCTCTCGTGTGGTACTGTATCGAAGGCTTTCGGAAAGTCGAGGTATATGACGTCGATTGGCTTGCCTTCGTCTAGGTTTGTAGACCAGTCGTCCAGGCAGCTGAGAAGATTTGTTGTAGTAGACCTTTTTGGCATAAAGCCATGCTGTGTAGGAGGTATAATGTCATTTTCTAAGAGAAAGGATATTGTTTCTTATACAAGAATTTTTTCAAGTACTTTGTACAGTGTGCAGGTCTATAATTGGACGGGTCGTCTTTGTCACCACTTTTGTAGATTGGTATCACTATAGCTTTTTTCCAGATCTCTGGTATTGTACCATTGTCTATTGAATCTTGGTATAGTTGGGCTAATAAGGGTGCTAGAGATGTAGCACATTTCTTCAGAAATATAGATGGTATCCCATCTGGGTCTGGACTTGACTAGGTGTTTAAGCTATATTGATTTAAGATATTTAATAGGTATATGTATATGATTGAATTTCATAATAATCCATAATAAGATAATAAGATAATAAGAGGCCTAGAGGGTAAATTTTGCTTCAAATAATTTCAATATGCTTGTTCCAATTTGAGTTTTCATCAATATTTGAACATAAATACTTTACATTTTTTCTATATTTTATAATATTTTTATCGAGATTTTTATTAAACATTATTGGTTCCATATTCAAATTAAACTGCTTCTTGGTGATGAATATGTTACAAGTAAAGTCAGATTAACGGTTAAACTGCGAAATACTAAAGAAACATAGGTAAAATACGAAATATAACCGACATTATAGCTTTTTCTGGGTTTAACCGGCTAAACCGCGTTCTATCCGGTTTTGTGTGGTTAAAGTTGGGTGTAGGAATTATTATTGCTTCTTCTTTCACCACGTGCAGGCTGTTCAAAAATGGCAACCGAAGAGGGTTGACTTGTGCGTTTAAAACAGCGTTTCAAGGAGTTCGTGTTTTCGAAAAGTGCAAACAGTTTTTACTTTAGCAATGAACAATACCAAAACCAAGAAATGTTAAAATGTTTACACGAATCAAAAACGCTCTGACTGGTTTGTGATTTCTGTGAGAACAGACCTAATCTTCAACCTAATCTTCTTCTTCTTCAAGTTCTAAACTCTTCTTAGTCTGGGGTTCAGTTATTGGGAAACTCGTTGGGATATCAAATCCATTTCAAATTGTCTAGCACTATGGTTGTTTTTTTTTTGAGAAAGGTTAGATTTAGGTCAAAAATAAACGGTTGAAGAAGAAAATGTGTATTTGCCGACGTTTCGGCCTAAATTAGGCCATCCTCAGGGCACAAAAAACAGGATATTCATGAGTAACATCATGGATTATTACATAGTGAACAGAGTAATTGTAATGAGTGATAAAAATAAAAATATGTAGATATAACAGCACGAAGAAATTTTTTTTTTTTTTAATTTAAAAATTAAAAAGGAATTTTACATAAATCAGCTATTAGCAATTTCCCACGAAATAAAAATAAAAATATAATCGTCGGGTTACGTAAATAACATTAAAAATTAAATAAATAAATAAAATTGAACAAGGTAAATTAAATTGAAACAGATATTACTTACATCCAAGTTACTTCTACAGTGTTAATAAATAGAGTGCTATATATGTAAGGAACATGTTGCTTGACTTCACTTCGTTCTTTGGTTTCTCTTGATTAGCAAAAGGGACATTAACATTAGACAGTTACAAGATTGTGCATCCCAATCTACACAAAAAGACCTTGATTACCTCAGTATAAATACGAGTGTCATGCAAGAGCCTGGAGAAAGAAAACAGCGGGAAACACAACAAGAAGGAAACCAGGAGCGGAAAAATATTGCAAGAACGACAGAGCATGCACGGAAGAAAGACTCACTCAACAGAAGCGCTGGGGACATTAAAAAAATGCGAAGCAAAGAAATCGAGCACAAGCATATCAGTGAAAAATTCTACAAACATGAAACTGGATTTTTTATATCAACGAAAAACACACGAGAAAAACCACCAGCATCCCAGAAAACAAGCGGAGCATCAAAAGAAAAAAAAATTCCTATGTGAAGATTTCAATATAGAGTCTCCAAAAAAGCTCTCCAAATTACAAATTGCTAAAGGACTTGTTGGATACCTTTAATCTAACAAATATTTGCGACAAGGCTACATATATTTGTACAACAGAAAACAATTGATTTCATGACAACAAACATACAAGATTTTCATTTAACCTGCGAAATCACCGAGCCATACATCCCCGAGCACTGCTTATTAAAGCTGTATATGCATTGTGTGCAGCATACAAAAAAATTGGTGAAAAAAAAAAAACTAAAAGTTAGAACACACGAAAACTGGAATCATATACAGAGGGATGACATAGATGAATCATTTAACTCATTTGTAAATGCAATAATATGGCGCTTCGATATAGAATGCCCTGAGAAAACCATTACGTCTCGAGCACCACCTAAAACATACAACGGCCAAACAATCAAACAAAACCAAAACCAACAGCTAATATATTTGCCAACTTCTTTTCTACTATTCCACTCAACACAATACATGCCCACTTTAACAACAACCTATCAAAAAATCCCACAACGTATATCCGACAAACTAACTCAATATATCTCCACTCTGTCACAAGCTGTGAAGTTAAAAAGGCAATTAAGTCACTAAAAAATAAAAAGCCATCTGGCTTTGATGGAATTTCAACATCTATCTTGAAAAAAATATCCGAAGAAGTATGTTTGCCTCTTCAAATTCTGTTGGGTCAATCAAACGAGAAAGGACAATTTCCAAACGTCCTAAAATTGGCCACTGTGCTGCCTGTTTTAAAAAGGGAGGACACTCAAAATATAGAAAACTACAGGCCTATATCCCTGCTCAGCAGCTTCTCAAAAGTTTTTGAACGCATTGTGTATAACAGACTGCAAGCATTCTTTCAAAAGCACAGCTATATCCTGTTCACAACCCGATGTCCACAGGTGCAGGTAAATTTATCACCTTTCCCTATCAAATAGCATTGAAAGGTGATTTTACCTGTACCTACCTGTGGACATCGGATTGTGAACGGATAATATCAGCATGGAGTTCAACAAGGAAAATCCACTAAAACTGCCTCATTCGAACTTGCAGACTTTATCTATAATGAACTGGAAAAAAAGCGCATCATCGTAGGCCTATTTTTCGACCTAACACGAGCGTTCGACACAATAAACATGGACTTCCTCGGAAAAAACTGGAATGTACTGGAATCAGAGGCAAAGCAAATTCCTGGATCTTGTCATTTCTCTCCCAAAGGCGACTCATGATGAAAATCGAAAATAGCCTATCCACAAAGCACAGCATAAATATTGGAGTTGCACAAGAATCTGCACCACTTATTTTTCTGACATTTATAAATGATCTCTTCACACCTGACCTCACCATCAAGTTTGCGGATAATACAACAGTACTGATCCCAGCAGCAGACGAACCCGAGCTGTTAGAAAAAGTCAAAAGGGTCCAGGGACTTATGAACACATGGTGTTTGTCTAACCAACTAATACTAAACAAGAATGAAACTGTCTGTTGATTTAGATATTTGGTAAAATAAAATCCAAATAAGCCGAAAACCGATTTTTCATTAAATCTGCCATAGTTCCATTTTGAAAGACTGAAGCACGAGTAACCATTGACAGTGCTGAACCAGTATTAGTTAAATTCTTTGGCTCTTACATTGACCAAAGATTGCCATGGAAGGAGCAACTTGATCATGTCTCGAAGAAACTAAACACAACATACTACGCACTACTGAAATTAAAACAGTCTGTTCCGTTATCATCTCTGCTAATAACCTACTATGCACTTGCATATCCATACATATCTTACAATATAATGCTCTGGCCTCTGGGGGCAGGCATCAAACATAAATAGGATCTTCATACTACAAAAACGAATAGTCCGCATAATTTTTAGTCTGAAACCCATGGATACGGGCAAAGAAGTATTTAAGGCAAATAACTTACTTATGGCGATTTCCATTTGTCAGTCAGTGCGCACTGAGTGTATCCGCATTCCGCATCTTTTTCTAAAAGCATGTAACATGTGAGGATAAGGATATATTTTTTTTTCACTGGTTCGACAAATGGAAATCGCTATTACAGTAGCTTCTATATATGTACTAAAATGTTCCCTATATGTGCACAAAAATCGAGAGAAATTAAAAAAAAAACTCTGAAATCTACCAGTACGAGGCGAGACCTAAAAACGACCTCGTATCCACAGATCCACCTTCTATGGAAAATCACCATACTACGCTTGCACTAAGATATACAACAAACTACCAACTACTGTACAGGAAACCAATATATAATATGGGCAGTTCAGAAGAACTGAACATCCCCCAGCAAGAGCCTACTATACACACTACGGGAATTCTATGCGGAATAGATATTTGTGATATATTTTTTTTGTTCTTTGTTTAGCATTACTTGCTGGGTTTGAAAAAACCCGGGTTTTTTTTGAAAAAGTCCAACCCGTCGGGTTTTTTTTGGGGCTTTATGGGTTTTTTGGGTTTTTTTGGGTTTTTTCTGGCTTTCCGGGAGTTTTCGTTGTTTTCTTCAAATTTGATTTATAGTTTCTGCTCTAGCAAAAGTATTACAAAAGTTATGACTTTCGTTGCAAAATTAAAATGTCCTTACAAAATAAAGCAAGCCACTGGATATAAATAATTACTCTTGGCATCAGTACACAGTGCACTGCACCATGCCTCTGGCTGGTCAGCCCAGAGGCTCCGTGTCATGCAGAATTCTGCATATCGACAGGATTCTATAGGCTCGGCAGTCGACACATTCAATATGTCGAATTCTACATGGCACGGAGTCCCTGCCCAAGCCTCCACGCCAAAAGCCAACAGCGAACAGCCGGGAATTGGGGAATCATCGAGGAATTCCTGATATTTCCTGCGAAAATGACGCTCATTCAACTGAAAATTCGCTATTTTTTAAAAAACCCAAAAAGCCCAATATTGGTGGGTTTTATCAACTGAAAAAACCCGAAAAACCCCACTGGGTTTTATAACCTGGGGAAATTCTATGCCAACCCTGATTACTTGGTTGAGTATTACTGTTTTTAGCTTTATGTATTTTATATCATACCAATACATTATTGTGTTTTTATACCTTAGATACCATCTACAATCTACATAATTCATTACTTTATGCCCGTGCGGGCATAAAGTACACATTATGGCCCGCGCGGGCATAAAGACGCAAAAAACAGTTTTCAAATAACTTATTTTTTATTAACAAAATATAAATTTACGCTTATAAAGATATTATGTTTGTCAAAAAATGATGTTTTCACACTGATGACAATTTGCGAAGTAACACTTTTTTCCCAGGTATTTATTATTCACAACCAACTGGTATGACATAAAAGTTTGTATGCACCACGGGTACTAATAGATATATACCAGGGCATAATCATCTACTTAGTACCCTTGATACATAAATAACTATTATGTATAATTATTTTGTACTAAATATTATGACAGAACCAATGTTATGGAAACTGTAACCTGATGGATCGAACAATATAATACTTATACTTATCAGAATTTTTTTGCTGATTTCATTTATAAAATATTTAAACTAAACAAGCTTGCAAAAAAAAGCTGATATGGTAAATTTGATAAGATTTGTTCAATAAATAATACCCACGTTATATAGTTGATATAATTTAAAGTTTATTATATATTCCATAATTATTATTGTAAATCTTTTAAATTTGTAACTTATTGAGTATTGAGTTATACCTATTTAAAAAAAGAGTTGTTTGGTCGTTTTGTCTTAAAATTAAAAGACAGATATTTGTTGTTCCCTAGACTATTTTGATGAGTCTAGTTGTATGTCTGTTAGTTGCATTATTCTGTAAAAATTCCTGTAAGTAATATGTTTACATTCAACTTTTGAATAATTATATTTTAGCATTTTTTGATCAATAAGAGCCAAAACACACTATAGACGTTTTTCTATATTTCATACACATTTCATTTTTGCTATATAAAAGGGCCGATTGACATTAAGTTATTCTTTTCCAGATGGTGGCAATCGATCAAATTCAAAATCGAACACGACAATACACCAAAAGCAAAATTTTACACTACAACCTTTGGACGTACAGCTACAGAGGCCACTATCGCACTGTACTGTTTATCGTCGCACTGTATACACGAATTTATTCTACTGTTAAGACAGCTCCACAAAAATAACCATCTAACAAGATTGGTTATTGAACCGTCGCATTGCCGATTCGACGTTAGTGATGAGAAAGACATAAATGAAATAGTAGATTTAATTCTTGGCATATTGCCAAGACTTTCTGCGTTTAGTTTGGGAGGTTTGGAAGATTTGGCTCAATATACTGATTGTATTTTGGGCACTTTGACTCCGCTTAAAGTTAAATTGTTGGGACTTGCCTCCATTAAGGATGACATTTCGAATTATGAAGAAAAACACTTCAAGCTCGATTTAATTTCTTTTTACAAAAATCTACAAGTAAGAATTTTTGCTAGAAGTATATTTTTTTTTATTATATTGATTATTATATTATAGATTCTCAGCATAGACTATGATCAGCTCTCTGACAAATTCCTCTACAGGTTGGAGGAAGCGAAAAATCTTCAAAGACTCGTAGTACATTTACATGCCATTCCTAAAAATCATCCGGGCACCACAAATCTGGCCTGGAAAGAATTTAAAACGTCCCATCCCCAATGCATGCTTAGATTGACTGTGATCCATGCCAATTCTGCTATACAGGATTTGCACGTTGAAGTTTTAAGAAATGAGATGCCTTTGAGTCACTTTAAAGTGTTCTTCTGTGAAAGTGTAAGAATATAATTCGAGTACATACACTTTTCACTCATTTTAATAAAACAATTCTAGGTAAACATCGATGTTCTTCACGAGTTATCCACATTTTACGCACGTACGTTGCGCAGCGTAGTTTGGATAGATTCGCTCAGCAAATACCCGCACAGCTGGGCAATCAAAGTATCAGAAAGTCCCGATCCTTTTGTCCTCATGTCCTGGCTGTGCACTCAATTCCAAGAACTGATTTTGTACGGTTACAAGTATCCGGAAGAAAATTTGGTGGCCATTGGCAGACTGAAGGGTACCAAAATGAAAAATTTGCAAATTTCCAGTTCCGATATTGTGTCATGTCGGGTGTCATCTGCAACAAAGGTAACTAATTTTCTATTGTATTTTGGTTTATAAACGAGGCTTTTAGGATATTGCAAATAATCTGAAAAGCGCCTGGAATCCTGTGCCCAGTGAGGATTTACATCCTGTCATACTGGATCCAAACTATGGCGACTCTGACGAGTTTTTGTTGCCTTTTGTACTAGCTGATCTACAATAATCTACAGAAATATTTACCAACATACTCCATTAAGGCTGGCTTTGTCTATTTTCATTGATTTGCTTTGGAATCAATGAGAGCAAATAACAACAGTCTAACTTTTATGTTCCTTATATTACAGTTGGATTCACATGCAGCGTGTGTGTGAATGCAACAGTACAGCTTTATGTAAAACTATTGCCAAGAAAATAACAGTGGTGTGAAATAGTGCCATTTCAAAGTTTTACATAATTTAGAATATTGATAAGATCAAAAACTTAATTAAGTAGATCTCAAAAAAAAAGTTGCTTCAAATTCAGCTACATAGTAGATAAGCACCAAAATCATCTGTGATTGGACGAGAAGTTTGAATGTATAATTACGATCAAAGCAACGATTTATTAAAGATATTTGTTAATCCAGTTGTTAATGTTGAGATAACTTCTAGTACCTGTAAGAAAGAAGCATTTTTGTTAGCTATGAACTGAAACAATTGATTTGTATTAACAGTTGTTTGGTTGTTGTTTTTGGATCCGTTTTGATAAGGATCCAAATATTATTTGTTTTGATTATATTGTATCATCAGTATTGAAGTATTTGTAAAGGGTTTGCCACTTGATTTTCAAATGATTTTGAGATTCAAAATCTGGTAACAACTAAATTTTGACAAGAAATACATATTTTTGCTGTAATTATAATTGGTCCGAGTAAATTAGAGAACAGATTCTTAATAGGAATATAATTTTTTGTCCTTAAACCGCCTCTAAGACATCACTCAAAGAAGAAAAAATGGAATCGAAAAATACTTCAGTTTACCAATGGATTGTGAAATCATACCTTGAGAGAACTTTATGCAACATATTATTTCACTTTCTGTCTATTACAGACTCTTGGAGTTTTTTCTTAAAACTCTTGGAAACTTTCAGAGCTTGTGGATTTGCAATTTTTCCAAATCATAAAATCATGATTCGGCCATGTTTTAGGGGTGGTTTTTTTGGACTACAAGAGATCTGTAATTGTTGCACTATTTGAATTTCGCAACTAAAATTATTTCGCCCATTGACTGTTTTTTTTTTACCCAATTTACTATAATACTGATGATTTTTTGTTCTGTATTCCATCTTACATATTTTAATCTGTATTTTGTTTATAAAACTATCTCCAAACTGTTTTTTTGGAGACTTTTCTGTATATTTTTATATTTTATACAATCGGTTCGTTTAAGTCGCTGGTGAAATTGAAACAAGATTAAGTGTTACCGGCCACTTAATACAAGCCTTATAAAAAAGTGACGCAATATGTTTGCAAGATTTGTGTCTGAACATATTAGCAGAAAAACGACACAAACTTATTAAATAAATAATGTATAAAAACAAACATCGTTCCTATAATGTAAAAAACCACACTTGACCAAATATCAAAAAAAAATGATGGCTTTAAAAATAAATCACCGCGAGAGTAGTCATTCCAGTATAATTAATAATCTATATAAGAAAGAGAGCAAAATGTTTTATATTATTCGTTTGAAAAAAGGTTAGACTGACAGTAGTAGCAAGTACAAGTGTAATTTTTACCAAAATCCTTTTGTTAGAAGTCATACTTGTACTAAAACCTGATTTGTTGTTTGTTATGTAATTTTAAATTGATTATAGATTTGCTTCTTGAAACCCACACAACGATTTGTAAGTTTAGAAGGCATATAATAAGATACAACTGTGATAGAACTTGTGGGGTTTGAATTTGACTGGAGATGCTCTGAAATTGTCCAAAAACGTCTTACATGAAAACCAGGAATATTCAAATTTGAGAATTTTAAGTGAATTTTTATTACAATTAATTGAAGAATTTATTGCTTCTTCCTAATAAAAAGGCAAGGTAAGTGATTTTGAACAAATTCCAGGAGGTTTTACAGCATCATTTTGATGTTTTTAATTAGCTCCAGCTTCACATGAAGTAAAGCAAAAATGTCCAAATTTCAAAGCCTAAAACCAAAATTCCCACCTATAAAAATATCTCTGTACAGTACAGACGTTTTTGGATAAGTTTTGCTTGGTAACTTTGCTCTCAAAGCTTAAGAAAAATGTATTAAGATCTAAGTAGTACCTGAAAGTATATTAAATAGTGATAACAAACTCTATATGCCAATAGATCTATTAATGAGAAACTAGTCCAACGTTTTAAAATAAAATATTGAAAAATTTGTGTTATGTGATGTATGATTGGATGAACAAAAAAATGCGTTTTTCTATTTAAAAAATAAAATAAAGTTTCACTTTTCTCTTGAAAATACAATTTCTATGATGTAAATGAGTGATTGTGCGAAACATCATTTCACAAGCAATATACAAATAGTGGGACCAAATTCTTCCCCCAAGTTTTTTAAATAAGACAAAACGCATTCGATCCAGAAAAAAATATATATTATAAAAAAAAACCTATCGAGATAAAACCAAAATCTCAAAACTCAACTATCTGTGATGTAATAAAAACGGACACATTGTAAACAGCGTACATATGTTAAATAACGCTCAAATGTTGCAATGATAAGGTCTCACAATCGGAGCAATTTGTTCTGATTTGATTTAGTGATACAAAATGTAGCTGGCGAGGCTATTTTGCAGAATTAGTAGCAAATATCAAAGAGTGTTAGAATGGAGACAATAAAATAATAATGGTGGAAGGGGTATAATATAAAGTCTAATTGTTTCGAGTGCAATTAGGCTTTCGAAAGGACTGGATTCTTGACTAAATGAACTGCGCTTCTCAGACCAGAAGCACAGTTTTGAAGTAAGAATCGACACCCAAAGCAGTTGCGATAAAAATAACGAATTTTAGTTGTATTTAGAAATGTCTATGGTTGCAAAATTCTTTGTGTTGGTAATAAGTATTTTACTAAAAAACTACAATGTTTGAAAACATCATCCAGATTTTCGAATAAATCACACCAAAAAGACAAACTGGTAAGACTTTGCTGTAAATCTTTTGTCACATATAAATATAGATTTGTTATAGAATTGCCTAGAGTCAAGTCATTGAAAAATGTAATTCACTCTTGGGACAAAAAGGGTCTTTAATGACATTTTAAAGATTTAGAAAATAAGATTTCCATATTGACTTTTTCATACCCTATCAGATATAGACAGAATAATGCTAAACCATAGACATAACACATAACCATTTAGTTTTTATTTATGTATTTTTATTAGTGTTTTTGCAACTGCTGTGTCCATTTTTTTTAACACTGTCATGTTATAGTATAGGCAGTCTTTATTTGTATTTGATAATGTATATTTTTTGTTTATTTTTCTTTTTCTATATTGTAGATTTAGGTTATGCAACACCATTTTCTTAGAAGCAGCTTTTCGTTCTAATATCTGCACTTACAAGTCCAAAAAGAAAAATGATAATTTGTTTCAGCATTATCCGAAAGTTAGGTTTTCTGTTTGAAATTTCGAATTGTTAATTTTTCTAGATATTAAAATACTATAGTGGTTAGGGATTATATGGGCTAATTGCACAACTCTGTTTAATGTTTAAAAAATTATAAACCTTATCTAATCACTTATTGTAACTTTTAAGTATTAACTGTAATATTTCCGTCAAAAAAAATTCACTGTGCAAAGATTTTCCTTTTTTTTACTGCTATAAACCTTATTTTCAGCTACTTAATAATTTTTTGTTCTGTGATATTTGTTATTATGGCAGTACCAGCTGTGCAGACAGAAATCCAATAGTATTTTGCGAGATTTTTGTTCCATTGCTGGCCACACATAAATTTCTTCTAAAAAAATATATCAACCATTATTAGATTTAGACGTATTTTTATAATTTTACTAGTTTTAAGTATTTGTTTCGGCCAAGAATGACCCTAAAATAACTAAATTAGAGATTTTAAGCTCCCTATTATCATGTTATTTAATTGGTCAAAATGTTTTGCCTTTAATGACTGGAGGTTGAAAATAAGTAGTTTTTTCTCCGATAAAGTTCAACTTCCAAGAATCTCTGGCTCTTGAATTGACTTCTTGCCGCAATTTTGTATTCAAATGGAAGTTGAAAAAATCCACAAAATGTATTGGTTGTTGTTTATTTTTGAACACCCATGAATCTATCAAATTCACTCTGTAGATTGTTGCCTCCCATAATGGCAAACTCATTAGCCGATTCTTTTTGCTTGTTTAAAATCTCTCTATTATTTGAATAGCAGTTGTTTTAGTATATTCATACCCTATTCCAGATAGTTTAGCAAAATAATGGGCATTCTTTTAAAAAAAGAAATCTTTGTTTTTCCCATTTTTACTCAGTTTAAATGTTACTTAATAACTATTATTCTACTTAATAATAGAGGTTCAGTTGTCCTAAAATAAAGGACAAAATTAATTTTAAGGCAACTGAAAAACTATACATTTTAAAAATATTTAAATAAATATTACTATGTAGATTGCAGTTTTTGTATTTTTTCATCCTTCATTGACTTGCCAACAGAAAGAGCAATAAATGGACATTTATTCACATAAAGAAAAATATATTAAAAATTAAAATCCACATCAAACAAAATCACAGTAGGTGCCTAAATCTAATTATTTTTTAAACAGATTCACTTGTCGCCACTTTTCCTATTGAACATATTCAAGTATTTGCCTTTGGTCACTTCTTTCGATTCTTCCACGCCCAGCTGGTAGGCGATGTCGTGCATCTCTTTGACTTTAGCGATCAGATTTGCTGAAGAAAGTGCGGCCAATTCTATAAAAAAAAAATACATGATATTCACATAACCAAAAAATATATGGATACAGGACGATTTATGGTCGATGGTACGTTATACGCTCATGGAAAACGGAATATTGGATATTTTTGAAAAGGACCCCGCACACCCTATGTAGGATTTCAGCGATCGGTCGATTTTTTCCAAATTTTGATATGTTGTAGAGAATTTAATTCTTAACAACCTTTAAATGGGACGAAATCTTGTAGGTATTACGGTCTTTGAGATATGAGCGTTGAAAGATGAACTTTTTTGCGATTTTTTGTGTGGAGAGTATACGAAATACTGGTGCTACTGGTGTTTATCAGTCAAAATATTGACATAAGGTTCACATAATTTACGTCGGCCGTTTGCACCGACCATTTTAAGGGAGGCATAATTATAAGTGTGCCTTAAAGTGACATTTTTACATGTAAAAATGTCATTTTAATGTATCCTTATCGTTAAGCTTCCCTCAAAATAGTCGGTGCAAACGGCCATAACAAATTAATGTCAACATAGGTTAAGGCCGGCACCGCACTGGGGTCAATGTAGGCGCCAGTGCGGTCCCGGCCTTAGCCTATGTTGACATTGATTCGTGACGTAAAATATGTGAACCTATCAATATTTTGACTGATAAACACCAGTATTTCGTATACTCTCCATAGAAAAAGTCGCAAAAAAGTTCGTCTTTCAACGCTCATATCTCAAAGACTGTACTACCTACGGGATTTCGTCCCATTTAAAGGTTGTTAATAAATAAATCCTCTACAACATATCAAAATTTAAAAGAAATTGACTGATCGCCGAAATCCCATATAAAGTGTGTGAGGTCCTTTGCATGCCCAAGTAATTGACCTTTTGTTTGGACGCCATATTGCGGTGCGCGAACATAGTTGCCAAAAGAAGAAAACAGAAATTACTAGCGGGCTGTCAACATTAAAAACAAAAGTAACTAAATGATTGATCCTCGCTATCCTTTTTGTTTGTTTACTTTCTCTCTCTGATTGATGAAAGTAAATAGATAGATATTCTATTATTTCTATTCTGCCCAATGCAAGCTAAAATTGATGGCTGTTCTATTCAAAAACATTCGTAATGAGCGGCAAATTCAAATTTTGAATGTAATTTATTCAGTAACTTTTGTTTCTAATGTTGACAGTACGCTAGTAATTTTTTTTTCTACTTTTGGCAACTATGTTCGCGCACCGCAATATGGCGTCCAAACAAAAGGTCAATTGCTTCTGATCTAATAATTTCAACGATGCGACGTTGCCGCTTATAACAAAAAGTAATATAAGGTTTGATATTTTAAATGAGACACCTTGTATATTATTGCATTTTTCGCTCCACTATTACTTTCTGATTATTTTTGTGTAATACTGTCCTATACCTATCTCTAGTGATTTTCAACTTAATCAATTAATTGCTTTATTTTTTCTTCAAAACATAGCTCTAGTTAAATTTGTATTACTACGTCACTGAGATTCGTAGAAAGTTTAAATTTTGAAGAAAACTTAGGAAGGTCCTGCATATTACTTTTGAGCAAGAAAATTTGTTCTGCATACAGGGTTGGTGAAAATTAGTAATTGTACTGCCAGGTACAAAAAAAGATGAAAAGTGCACTTTTTCAAATAGAGCAACCTATACTAGTCTGACAAGTGAACATCTTACATGCCAATTTTAATGCAATAGAATGAAATGTCTAGAAAAAGTCCAAGGTTGAATAGAGAACGAAAACGATTTCCCGTGTTCCACCTCCAGCATTCTCAGCGCTGCATGCTGGAGGTGGAACGGGGAAAATCGTTGCTGTTCTTTTTGTTTAACCCTAGACTATTTCTAGATATTTCATTCTATTGCATTGAAATTGGTCATTAAGATGCTGACTTGCCAGACCTGTATATTATGAAATATTATAAAAGGCAATAGAAATCCCTTACAAATGATGTATCATGTTCCTATACCTAAATAGTAAGGTTTCAGAAATACAATCGAGTTTCTATTAAAATTGGATTATTCTGGGATATTTGTCTAATGGCGTTTTCGATTGGTAGATTTAATTCGCACTGAGTGTATTTCTATCTCTTTCTCTCAGCCTGTTGAAAAAACAGATAGAAATACATTTTCTTTGCACTCTTCTACCAACCGGCATTGAATAGCTATGAAATGTCATGATGAAACATATTAGGTAATTCAAACTATGTGATTTTCTACAATGTCAAAATTAACAGGAGAGAAATAACCATGGTAAAATGGATGGACAATTTCCATAGATGCCTATGGTAAGACTTTTGTGACGTCATTGGATTAAGCTGTCAAAAACATCGTGAGTAGGAGATAGACAAAGACAAAACAATTACCAAATATTTGCGTATGACCATTGTATAAAAAGGCATTGCGGAAAGTGATTGACGTACAAATGGATGCATGAAAAGTAATCTTAATATGTTAATAAGTCATTGACTTATAACCCGTGGTAGAACGCATTACTGTTCGTCTGGTTCTGATCAAATGATGATGTTTTGATAATGTACAGAGTGTTTCCTTATATTTTGACCCCTACCTACAGCTTAGGCTATATCGTCGTTAATTTCACAAAGTGACGTATCTCAAAAGAACCCTGATATGAGATACGTCACTTTGTGAAATTAACGACGATATGAGGTAGAAAAAAACTTTAAATATGAAAGTTGTAGGGTTTTATATCTATTATCTTTTGCGAATGTGAAAAAGCGCAAATAACAGGTGCCAACTGTCATAATGACAAACACTTGCATTTTTCAAACGGAACACCCTGTATATTGTTGGCTAGAATGATAGATTTTTTTCTTCTGATTCCAAATATACCATATATGTTGATATTTGGTTCAGCTGTTTTTACGCTATTCATGTTTAATAGTGCATTTACATTATCCCTAATTTAATCTGTCCAGGGCTGGAACTTTGTAATGGATAGAGATCGTTATCCCTATCGCTATGGCACTTGCTGTCTTCTTCTCTCTTGGCGAAATCAATAGAGAGGAGACGTCAATAGAGAAAGAGAGAATATCTCTATTCGTTACAGAGTCCCAGCCCTGGTTTCTTATATCAATGATGAGGCTTGCTCAATGCAATTTTAAAATTAAATAGTGCAAAAACAATTGAACCAAATATCAACATATATGGTATATTTGGAATTAGAAGCAAAAAAGCTATCATTCTAGCCAATACCGGGTGTTCCATTTGAAAAATGCAAGTGTTTGTCATTGTGACAGTTGGCACCTGTCATTTGCCCGTTTTGACATTCGCAAAAGATAATAGACCTAAATCCCTACAACTTTCATATTTAAAAATTTTTTCCACCTCATATAGCTAAAGCTGTAGGTAGGGGTCAAAATATAAGAAAACACCCTGTACAAGATCGGTTTTAAAATATTCAAAATTCAATTACCATGAAGCAACAAGGCTGCAGTTTCTATCTCATTCACAGACACTGTTATGTCGTTTCCCTCAAAATTGAGTGATTTGATATTACTGAGAATGCTGAGATCCTTCTAAACTCTAAACAGTAACAAGATTACATTTTTCAAGATACTAGATCCACACAACATAGGAAACACATGTTGACTAGCACCTGGCTGGGCCCAGAGACTATTTTGGCAATTTGAAGATTCCCGCGTATTTTCTGTTTAATTTGATAGAGGAGGGGGTAATAACTCTGCTCTGAAGGTGGGTAATTCAGGTATTACGAGACAGGTCGATTCTAACCTATCTCAATGTTTCTAACAGAAACTGGCTTGTATTTCTGAAACCTTACTATTTAGGTAAGGAACATGAATAACATGACACATCATTTGGAGAGATTTTAATGGACCTTTCTCATTTTAGCTGTGCTGCGTGCGCCGCTTGTGGGTGACAGATAATAAAATTGTGAATTGAATGAACGCGGCACCCTGACGTTTTTCAAGCTAATCTCAATAATAATCAATCAAATATTAGGTTTGTTTGGACTTAGTTCAGAATCAGTTCCGAATTGAACTGCGCTTGCGCATTTGGTTATAGAGAACATAGCAAACGCAGTTCAATTCAGAACTGATTCTGAACTAAGTCCAAACAAACCTATTGGAGTATAAGGAATAAACCTAAAAAACCTCGAACTTGAAATCAGGTTTGAAAGGTTAATCCAATAAGATGGTAATATATTGGGTTTTCCATTTAAAAAAGTATAACTTTGCTTCGCCACACTTTTGTGATACCCCCTGTATACTTGTAATGTAACTAACATCGTTGAAAACTTTCTGATATTACCTACAACTTTCACATTTGACATTTCTGGATATCTCTTCAAACAGGTGAGATAGGTGTGGGTGCAAAATATAGACAATCAGCTAGATATAATAGTATATTGTTGTATTAGGAGTAGAAGCTTTACTTTTTTGGGCTGAAGCAGAAGGTTTGCGAGCCGAACGTAGTGAGGCTTGCAATACTGCTGAAGCACAAAAAAGTGCTTCTACTCCGTATGCAACACGCTATTTTTTCTCCAAACGAATGGGGTAAGCTCGGGGGCAACTGAATGGTTAAGCGGCAGTAAAAGTACGAGCGGCACTAAAAGTACTTTTGCTGCCGCTCCAGCGGCACTAAAAGTACTTCTACTGCCGCTGCGGTTGCCTAGCAGAATAGATATTAAATTTCTACCACCTCGACAGGTGTTAACCCGCTGGATTTGCCTACCAGCATAGAAATTAAATTTCTAACATCTGACTGACAAAGTGACGTTTTTTTGACGTTTGGAGAAAAATAATATTGTCTATTCCAGGGTCTCGAATTTCTTCCATTGAAAGAAATTTAGATCAAAACAAAAATTCAAGAGCGTAGAATAGACAAAAATTGAGTGGAAGAAGTTAGGAAATAGAAGAAGCAAATTCAATAAAAATTAGAATACAAAAAAAAAATTAATTCAAATAAAAATACCAAATTCAACAAATATCACCAGAAATATAATTGTTATGGTGATAAATTAGGTACTTCTAGTTTCAATTAGGATTTTGTCAGAAGAAAGGTGGTATTATATTTAAACAATTTTTGTAAGCAAGATTTCCAAAATCTATTCTATTTTTCAACTCATCCAACCAATGACAATCCCAAAAGTGAATGAAGTGTGTTTTTTTTTAAAAGATAAAAGTCCAAATGACATTATGTTGGCAATACGATGTAAAATTGTCAATGCTTTCAAATTTTTATGTAGAAAAGGCTTGTCCTGCCAACATAGTTACTAAATTTTTGACTTGGGGAATTATGAAATTAAAAACTGACTTTAGTTCAAGTGCATTATACAGTGAGTTCATAAAGTCCTGCATAAATTCATTATTTTCAAAAAGGTTGAATTTTTGAATAATCGCGCATCAACGACACGTCAATTTTATTTTTTTTTGTTTGAAATTTTTCAATATATTTTTTATCATGCAGGGTGTCTCAAAAATAGCTTTGCTGGTATCAACTTTATTTTTTTAAATGGTACCCTTTGTACCTATGACATTTCTGGATTCTGCGGAAAATTCTAGACATATTTCATGTATAATTATCATATACCTATCTTCAACTATTTCGGAAATATTGACAGTTAAAAATTGACTTTTTTGCAACTTTGACTGGCTATAAAACCTAAACGGTTAATCTTACAGCAAAACTGATTTCACATTCTCGTCTGTAGCTTTTCATAAGCTATCATTTGACACCAACCTTGAATTTAACCGGAGATTAAATTTAACAGGAATTTTTAATCATGTATTAACTTCAAAGATGGTGTCAAATGACAGTTTATGGAAAACTAAGACAAGAATGTATGATCGGTTTTGCTGTAAAATCAACCGTTCAGGTTTTACAGTCTGTCGAAGATGCAAAAAAATCAATTTTCAACTGTCAATATTTCTGAAACAGTTGAAGATAGGTATATGACATTGTACATTGTACATGAAATATGTCTAGAATGTTCCGCAGAATTCAGAAATGTCATAATATACAGGGGGTACCATTTAAAAAAATAAAGTTGATACCAGCGAAGCTATTTTTGAAACACCCTGTATGATATGTTTCACATCTACATGCTTGTAGGAAAACTAGAAAAAGAAAATAAAGAAAAAAAAACATCCTTTCATCTGGAAAAAAAATTAGGGCTGGTGTCAACCCTTTTATTTATAATTCAATGAATCCAACATCCAACCATTCTCTGATAACTTATTTATTCCAGACTTTTATGACCTCACTGCACTGTATTATAAAGTTTGTTTTTTATTTAAAGATAATTCCCCAAGTCAAAAATTTAGTAACTATGTTGGCAACACAAGCCTTTTCTACATAAAAAATTTGAAAGCATTGACAATTTTACATTGTATTACCAACATAATGTCATTTTGACTTTTATCTTTTAAAAAAAAAAACAGACTTTAGTTTATAGAATGCATATTTTCAAAATAAATTTCAAGTAGAAATTTGTATCTATCCGGATCCAGTTAATTAGTGAGTAAATTCCCCTAACAAGGTAACACTAAAGTGAAAAAACAATTCAATGATACACTTAACTTTTATCATTTTATCTTTGTCTAGCGCATTAGATTCAAACCTATCAAAAACCTTTGAGCTGCTATAGGCCTTCTAATATCCATTAAATATTGATATTTTTTTTTTAATTTAAAATTTCAATACTAATAATGAATTATTCTTTCATCTACTATTAAAATAAATTCCCAATACTTACGTTGCATGTAATTTTGATCCTCGGCAGTTAATTCCTTAGAATATGGCATTTTACTTGGAAACTGCGTGTTGTAACTGTTTATAAAATCGGTTACACCAGGCACTGCAATGAAAAGAAACCAAAAAAATCGAGGGTTGCACACTTTTAACGGTATTTTCAATATTATTTTTCGAGTGGCGAATAAATTACCTTTTTCTGGCCACATTTCCGGAGAGGATCTGTCCAGGTTTTCCATCGTCAATAGGCTCTTGGTAAAATTGTCTAAAATCTCCTGCCCAACATCTACAACACAAAATACGATACTGGAAGATTACATTTTTTGACAGGTAAACATCTACAGCCAGAATAAAATGAGTCAATTTAGTGAACGCAGCCGAGGAATTTAGCGGTTTTGCAATGGAAAATTAAAACGGGAAAGTTTGAATTTTATTTCACTAGTTAATTAATGAATAAACAACCTAAACATACGTAAAAATTAAAAAATAATTTACCTTGTTCAATGATCCCGGGTTTCGGAGACGCCATCTTGCAATATTGCCAACCTAAATTCGAGACGCAGGCGCGCTAAATGTTCCTAGATTTGAAATTTGAATTTTCAAATAAAATTTTGAATTTCAACTATCGAATTTTTGACTAGTTACTGGAGATTTTTCACTCTGATTGGGGCCAATACTTTTTTGTGCTTGGATTCAACCAAACAAGAGAGGTTTTAGGAGTTTGGATCCAGAGTTCAACATCTGCTCGATAGATGGCACTTTTCCAGACACTCGTTCCAAAGTACGGTACAAACTGCACTAGAGCTAATTTTTCAAGGAAAGTGAAAAATACAAAAATATATCCTGATGGAAGATTATTTTTGTGAGAGAACTCTAGGAAACTTGATTGTGACGGATTTTCGTATCGCGAGCGACGGCTTTGAAATTTTACTCCAAGCACCCCTATGGAGCACCCTTTGAAGTTTCACTTCAAAATAAATAGCTTTGTTCCTTCAGTCTCATCTATGTAGGAGTCCCGTTTTGTTCTCGATAGAATATGGTCGATTGGTTTAAGGAACTCCATAGTCGAAAGTGTCTGCTAAGTAAGAATAGTAAACGAAGATTGCTCATCCAAATAAGTCGGCAGGCTCTGCGAGTGACGTCTTCCCTATCAGCAGCTAATAGAGGTGACGTCATCCGCAGACCCAGATGGTATGTTTGCGATGGCTGTCTTCACTCTTTCTGAAGTGAAAACTTCTTTAGGCGCGTTCAGTACAAATATTTTTTGAGTCGTTTCTCAGTGACGCACTTTAAGCACTCCTAAGCTGCTCTAGAGTGCCCCGGGCTGTTATAGACGGTCCGGTGCTTCATAGCTTTGCGGAACTGCTGTTCCTTTTTTTTCTCTCCTGCCCTCTCAAATGATCTCAAGCACCTGTAATTTTAGGATGCATCAAAAACATGACGCTTAAAGTGGGGTGCATTCCAGTGAAACAACAGTTGCTTGGAGCACCAGAGTGTGAAGCTAAAGTTCATTTCACGAAACGAGATAGTAGAGGTAAACAAACAGGCGGAGCTTAAGAATTCAGAGAAGGACTCAGGCCCTGCGATCTCTTATTGCCAGTAATAAATCACATAATAACTCTTTTCCGTTTTTCTAGATGTCGCTGACAACAACAGAATTGTAAAATAACAGCACATCAAGAACACGTCCGATGTCGATAACATTAGAGAGATATCGGTAAAACAGATAGCGCGTATGGACGGTAATAACGTCAGGAGTTATTTTTTTAAAGTAAAGCGGTATCATACTTTCAAATTAGAGTTATCGGAAAACAGTTTAACGTAAAATTTGCCTGTTCGCATCCGTTATTTTAAAACCGTAGCCTAACTTGTACCTTGTTGTGATTTGATTTGTGTCGTCTGTTGTTTATGGTCAGGAACAGAGGATTTGCTTTTTTACTATTTTTTGAACAATCCATATTCACTTGAACATAACAAAAATAATAAAATAAACAAAAACAATAAACATAACATAACCTATATTATTCCACTGCGTTATTTTTAGGCGTTATTCGAAATAGCGCTTAACGTAAATGCTGGGTAAATTACGTGATGCGGTAACGTTATTTTGGTACGTAGTGTTAAAAATCGAATCGCGCATAGGTTTAATGTCAAAATAACGTAGGCGCTAATACTGCATGATACTATTCGGGTTACCGATATCTCTCTAATAACATGAGATTGACATGTCAACATATGACAATATGCCAAAATATTCATTTGATCATAACTAATAATTCATAATGTTTTTCGTACGCCGGAATCGCCGGTCTTGCATTTCGTCTTTCTTTGTGTTGTCAAGTGTTTCTAAGTGATTTCAAAGTGGTTTTGTGTGTTTCACGAAGACCTCCAATCTTTATAGATTGGAAGATCTATTTTGATCTTTGTTGATTAGATAAATGACAGGTTCAATTAAACATCAATCAGAACTTTTGAATAAATATGTTAAGGATATCTTTAACCATCGATAAAGGAACTGTCTTTTGATCTAATTAACAAAACATCAATTAATTTAAGTGAATATTAATGTTCCAAAGTCTAGAATAAACAAATTTGAACAGACCTACTGTAATGCGAACAGGGCGCCATCTATCATAAAAATCCCTTGAACCCCTATGGAAAGTAGATGACGGCTCAATTTTGTTGACAACAAAATTTACATTGAGATTCCATTCTCTACAGTTTATATAGTATTTATCTCTGGAAGGACTGCAAAAATATGAATTACAACTAATGACATTTATTATTGTCAGGTTGTCATATGAGTCAATAAAATGGCGTTTCCGATTGGTATATTTAGTGCACTCCTAGGGCCGATACTTTTGCTGTCGATTAACGAATTTGATACGTTGTCAAAGTTTTGCATGGGCCAAGGGCTATATAAGTATGATATGGTTAGAACACATTCAAACCCCTGATTATTTTTAACGGCTGTCAAATGAGAGCAAAAGTACCGGCACCTAGTGTATTTGCATCCTTTTAATCGACCTGTAAAAGAAAAAGACAGAGATAGAAAAAATTGCACTAGTTCCGCACTAGATCTACTAATCGGCAACGCCATAAAGTTTAATGTTGTATTTCCTAGTATTTTACAATTATTTAAATAGTGTTTTGTGAATTATTGTTAATTAGTGAGCAATTTAGTGAGCAGAAGAAATAAGTGTTCTTGATCCTCGAGTATCCTAGAATTTGATGGTTATCCTCGCGAAAAATTACCTGTTGCTGTTAATGCTCACGACTGTACATTTATGATGAAAAATAGGTCTGTTCGTACAGAAATCACAGACCAGTCAGAGTGAATTTCATTGATTGAAACTAGTTTTCTGACTTTCTGACTGTTTTCAACCAATGAAATTTGGTCTGAGGGACGGTTTCTCAATAGTTGTATTCCTTTCAAACCTAGGAGGAGCTCCGGAACAGCTCCGGGGCTTCACGCACTTATTCCTTTCGAAAAGGGTTTGCTACACCACGCATCTGTTCCCTGAAAATCGGGGGCGACTAAACACCGGAGCGAGTAGCTCAAGTGTTTGAAACTCTTGAAAGGAATACAGCTAATAGCAAGTCACCCCCAAAACTCCAGGGTAAACATTGCAACTGGACAGTGACACGTTGACCCTGGGTGTCTATTCTCGAAACCGGAGAACATCATTCTCATGAGCATGAAGGATGAAGGTTCTGTCTTATGGCCGTTTGCACCGATTATTTTAAGGGAGGTTTAACGATAATCAACGTTTAAAGTGATAAATTTACATGTAAAAATGTCACTTTGAACGTTGATTATAGTTAAACCTACCTTAAAGTGGTCGGTGCAAACGGCCATTAGTCGCCCATATTTATATTTCCATAATACTGACAAAGACAGAGCAATCGTTCTGGTGGAACGCTATTTCCCGGTATCGAGAATAGACACACTGGAGTTAAGTTAAAACCAAGCCGGAGGTGACTCTCTATTAGTTGTATTCCTTTCAAGGGTTTGAAACACTCGAGCTACTCGCTCCGGTGTTTAGTAGCCCCCGATTTGCAGGGAACGTGGTGCAACAAACACTTTTCGAAAGGAATAAGCGCGTGAAGCCCCGGAGCTGTTCCGGAGCTCCTCCTAGGTGTGAAAGGAATACAACTATTGAGTAACCGTCCCTCAGAATCTTAAATTTATTTACTGAAATTTAAAATACTTAAGTAACTTCAGACAGGTCGGGGATTCTAAATTCACGATTCGACACACGACTCGACAACGAGACGATTTTTTCCGTATCCAGTTGCGTCTCGTTGTCGAGTTGTGTGTCGAATCGTGAATTTAGAATCCCTACCCAGATCACAAATTCATGACGTTAATCCTGAGCGTTAATCCGACAATCCCATTGAAACGTGTCATTTAAAATAATTCTAACGTCAGAATGACGTCGCTCAAATAGAATTCTATTCATCGTATCCGATCCGGAGCCACAGGAAATAAATACAGGCACAGGAATCTGGGGACAATAATTAAAAATTAAAAAAGATATGGTACAGAAAAATTGTTTGAGAGTAACTCACGAACCGGTAGAAGCACTTTTATTTTTATTTTTATTTATGACTTTTAAAAAATTATAGCAAAAATTGAACTGTACCATTTTTTTAATTAATTTTTGTTGTAATTTTTTAATTAAAACAAAAATCCGCCAAATCACGACACACGTCATTGATTATCGAAAGGCGATTGGGGGAAAACAAATCGAAAACGTAGGTCGCAGCTGACAGATGAATGGGTCCCCCGCCATATTGAATTCAATCCAATCAGTCTGTGTTGTTTTTTATGCCCCGAAGGGTGAAGTTGAAGTGGTGTGGTGCATCCCCGGCTTATTATCGCCCTTTTTGAATAAACAAAAACAATTAAACTCGTTCGGATCGAAAAGAAACCGTGACGCCAACTCGGAGCGAGTATTTCGAGTGTTTTTATTTATTATCAAATTACATTTTTTCAATAAATTAATTTGTACCGTGTATATGTGAGTGTGTACACAGGAAGATAATCGATTTGTCAACGCGCGAGGTTTTAGATTACATTTTCGGTTCGCTATTTTAATATTTTGTGACCCCGAAAAAAAAAAGGTGCAATTTTTAATTAATGGGAAAAGTGTACCTTACCGAGTGGGGTATCGTTTTGAGCCGAATTTCCAATAAAATTTTAATTCGGTAGATAATTTTCTTTTGAAGAAAAAAGGCCATTCACTTGTTTGCCTGGCTGGACCCTGGTCAAAGACTTACGTTATTTACGTTTTCCGGTAATAATTGTTGGACGTGACGTGTGCCTTAGATTCTATACTGAAACAATTAATAAATTATTTATGCCTGAGTGGACTCGAAAATTAAATCGACATTAAAAAAAAATGCATTCGATTAGGTGGCTGATAATTGTTGGGTAATCAAACACTGATTCTGTGTGGCGGATGATCGAAGAAGTTTATTAGATAGCAATCATGGAAGTGGACGAAGCTGTTGTGGATTTGAGTTTGGGGTTAGTATAAATTGTTTTGGGATTTTATTGATTCGTGTGAATTTTCAAGGTAAATAGGTTGTTCAAAAAAAAAAGACTATACTTATTTAGAATTACCAGCAATTGGCAACAATGCTTGCAAAAATTTTGACATTTTTATTGCTTTGAGTCGACTTGTCGGTTGTCGGGAGCCCTATTTTAAAAAAAAGAAATTAAATGAATGGTTAACTAAAGGTTAATAATAAACTTTCTCAGTAACTGGTAATTTCAATGTCTTCAGAAATCCTACAAATCAAAGTAAAATGAATTTCGATATCGTCTTTTCAGAAAGAAAAATACCAAAAAAATACTTAATGCATTTTTATTGGTTATCAAAAATGACAATTCGCCCCTGTTATTCAGAAAGCACTATACACTGTATTTTTATTATCCGTGCGTTCGTTATTTTGGTCTGAGTTCTCCGAGCTTGACTTTACCGTTCGTTTATTCAAAAAGTGTACTCGGTGTATCCTCATTCGCGTTCGTTTATTAAAATTTCTGGCACTTTTATACAGCGTTCAACTGCTCTGTTCGCTCGCTGGTCACGTGGTTACGGCTCCGCTCTGCACGCTCTGCTCTTCGAGCAAAATACCGAACGCAAGGTATATTTATGTATAGTCCGTGCATTAGAAGTGGTCTAGTTTGCAGGCAGGGCCGGCTCTAGGTATTTTGCCGCCCCATCCCATGGCCTGCTTAGGGAAATTGTGAGAGATCTTGAATTGTAGAAACAAAAAATAATTACACGAAACAGTAAGGCATAGCATCATAGCAGTAAAATCACATACTATATTATGTAACTTAGGTAACCACAAAAAAAAAACTAACATAATAAAACAAGAAACACAACAAACAAAGTAAGAGTCAGCCAATCCAAGCTCTTGGCAACAATCAACAGATACATTATGTAGGTATACCCTAATAGCACAGAAACGTTTCAAAAAATTATCCTATCGGACGTCAAAACGTTTTAAAAATGTTAGTAAAAGTAACTGAGAATATCCAAAGGTGCATTTTTATTTGGTGCAAATGTCACTTCAAACGTCATATAGACATCGAAAATGAGTGTCTCAAAAATGCTTTAATACGAACGCTTAAAAACGAAAAAGGACGTTTCTCAAAGATCTCTATATGAACATTCACTGGACTTCCTTCAAAGTATTCAATACCATCCAATAGACTTTAATTTATAGGTAGTGCAAATATCACAGTTACAAACAACCTTCTAAAAACGTCTTATTCGAAATAATTTCCGGACGTGTGGACGTGGGATACATGTTTCCAACGGTGTTCTCGAAAACGACCAACAGAAACCTTTATAAAACGTCTCTCATGACTTTTCATGAAAACATACTTTTACCAACTCGTAGAAAACATTCTGACGTTCTTTAATTGTTCCTAACAGAGGTTTTGAAAACAACTTAATCAAACGTCTAAAGAACATCCTTTCTTTACCTTTTTAAAAACACTCGGACATGGACATTACCACGTGCATAAACAGTACCTAGTTTCCAAAACTTCTCTTTCAGAACTTTATGCTTATGGACGTTTTTTGAATATATTTCGAAAGTCTTTTTTCGTCGTTTTTAAAAATGATTTTGTGCAAACGTTTATACAACCTTCTATTTTAGTCCTCGGATGTTTCGACGTTAAACAGACTTAAAAAAAAAAAACGTCCATCGTACCTTTTGTGTCATTAGGGTAAGTAAGTACGTACATTTTCAATAAAATTATTGGGATATTATTTAAGATATTTTCGAGCGTTCAATGCAGCAAAATCTTCAAGTAGATGATTCATTTTTAATTTAGCATCGATTTCATGCTCAATATCAATGATTGCTAACATGCTCATTGCTTACATTTTCTTGGCCGAGATGATCTTGAATACGTTTTTATTAATTTTAATTTAGAGAAACTTTTCTTAACAATTGCAAGAGTTATGGGCAATGGTAATAAAATTCTGAGGATCTGAGGGCCACAACAACAACAACAACATTCGATGCAATATCGAGTTGGAGTGCTAATTTTAACACATCAAAAGGATTTTGATTGGGCTCCAGTAGCGTCTATCACAGATAGTTCATCAGCTAATTATGCCACATTGACATCGAAAGAATTGTCATGCATGAGAACACATATTATAAATTTTTGCAATATTCCTATAACTCTTCTAGATGAAGTTTTTTGTAGTAAATGGATATCATATAAGAAGTTGAAATGCGACTATAATACAGAGTGTTTGGTACATCGATTAGGAAGTTTTTAATGATTACTCATTGAAAACTTCCTATCACTATTGTTCGTCGATTTTTAACTGACACTTTCCGTATGAGGAGCGAGGGGGGTATTTCATATGAAAGAAACAGGTGTTATGTCAAGTAACCATTAGCGTTCTAATGTAGGGAGCCACCAGCTCACATTCCGTCCAAGAATCAGATTAAAATCGACAGACAATAGTTGGGGTCATTTGGAAGCTGTTTGATCATATTTACCCATGCAAAATTTTGTCGTTTTTGAGATATCAGCATTTTTAGATATTTTTGGGAAATATTTGAATTATTCCTGAAACATATTGTTTTTTTTTTTTGGAATAACCATTTTAACCTTTCTCAATTTTTTTTTCCGATATTCCTGATATGCACTCGAAAAACTCGGAAAGAAAATCCGAATGATTGATACAAAAAATATGTAGCCCAAGTTATGTGGTTATAATGGATTCAAAATATCTAAAATGGCGATATCTCAAAAAACGGCGAAACTTTGCATGAGGGTAAATATGGTCCAACAGCTTTGAAATGACCCCAACTATCACTCATTGAAATTTTCTTGAAATCTTCTATAGATGTACCAAAAACCCTGTATAATTGGTTCGCTGTTCGATTTATATTTCTTAATTTTTTTTAAGTCGTTGGTTTCATTTTCTATTAATTTTTTTTGTTGTTGTATGGTATGAATTTGCCGCCTCTGGATCGTGTCACCCTGGGCGGCCGCCCATCTCGCCCCCCCTTAAGCCGGCCCTGTTTGCAGGTGGATTAGTAGAAATAGCATCTAACCCTACATAGACGACTGTACATTTTTGAGTTTATATCCTGTTCAATAAATTTTTGAAATTAATAAAAACAAAAAGAGCTAAAAACCTCAAAATCGAAACTATAGGACTGTCTCGAGGACTGTGCCTTAGACGGTGAGAACAACATATTTGATATTAATTTGCTCAAACCGAGGCTCAAACATATACATAAATACATACAGGGTGGGGACGTGGGGAATTTTAATGGAACTAATTCGCTAGAGCCTTGGGATAAAATAATAATAATAATCTTTATTCAGGTTTAAATATTTTTTACAATACATTTTTTTTTTCTTTCACAATGCATGTATTTTGTATTTAAAAATTATTTTGTTGGCACCTAGAGGTTTAATACCTCTGTATGCACCAAAATATGTGGACAAAACGCAAAAAAACGTCGATTAAGATTTTTTGCTTAAGATTTGTTCACATTAATTTTGTTATACAGGGTGTTCCAAGAACAGCTGTACAGTTATCAACTTCATTTTTTTAAATGGTAGCCCCTGTATGTTATGTCATTTCTGGATTCTGCGGAAAATTCTAGACATATTTCATGTAAAATGTCATATACCTATCTTCAACTGTTTCAGAAATATTCACAGTTGAAAATTGACTTTTTTTGCAACTTTGACCTGCTGACGGAATTTTTAATCATGGATTAAATTCAAAGTTGATGTCAAATGATATTTTAAGAAAAACTAAGATGAAAATGTATGATCGGTTTTGCTGTAAAATCAACCGTTTAGGTTTTACAGTCTGTCAAAGATCGAGGTCAAAGATGCAAAAAAGTCAGATTTCAACTGTCAATATTTCCGAAGCAGTTAAAGACAAGTATAGGACATTGTACATAAAATATGTCTAGAATTTTCCGCAGAATCCAAAAATGTCATAATATACAGGGGTTACTATTTGAAAAAATAAAGTTGATAATCGTACAGCTGTTCTTGAAACACCCTGTATAAAAAAAATTATTTGACTATTTCACTAGAGTGTTTCTGGCAAAATGTCATAGGAACAGCCGGTTTCCTACTGACAAAACTTCTACCTGTTCCTACCTGGGCAAAACCAACATGATGGTTTTTCAGCGACAAAATTTTGTGTGGTTAAGGTAAAAATCTATTAGGCCGGCATAGACACACGTTCTTTCGCGCGGTTTATCGTGTCATCTTCAAAAACATGTGAAAAATCATGTGCGTGAGTGAGGAGGGCTGCACGCAATGATAGAATGGGAAAGGATTTCAGACGTGCTTCCATCTGGAATGTGGCGTCAGTACTCAAGTACATGTTCACACCCGTGTCCACACGCCATTCCACGTCACGGTTTTGAGGCTAGAACGGAGACATAGGTAAACGCCGCGTAGCGAACTATCACGTTGAAAATTAGTAGATGACAACATGCACTTCCAAGCGACACGATAAATGACACTTTTTACCCATACACATACGGTTTTTCCTTTCCAACTGATATGCCGCGCGTAATCATGTGCTAAATCATTTGAATACTTTGTCAAGTGTATGGAACATGTCGCTTTTTTTGCCACGCCGTTCTTTCGCGCGTGCAAACCGCTACATCCCAACACGCCACGATAAACCGCGCGAAATAACGTGTGTGTATGCCGACCTATTGAGTTTGACAAGTGTCACCTAAAGAAAATAAATTTTCCAAATGAAAATTTGGCTTGTTTTTCTCGTGAAATAGTCCAGCCGAATACCACTCAAGAAAAAATTATGTAGGCAAAATTTTTCTCTTGGTTTTATTCAAGTTTGTTGCTTTTTGGTAATTTCGCTCATGAAATTTTTGACAAAACCACTCGCCTGACGGCTCGTGGTTTTGTCATTTGCGAAATTGCCAAGCAACAAACTTTCATACCAGTCGAAAATTTTGCCAACAAAATTTTTTCTCTTGTGGTATTAT